TAATGTTCTTTTCAATAAATTAGATAAAATTACAAGAATGATCTTTTCTCGATCTTCTTTCTTTATGATTAATATACTGTAATATTTTCGCGATGGCTGCAATACATTTCAAACGAATTTATTAAAAGTTATTTAATCTATCCTAGCTCATCCATTTTAAGGCAACAGATATATCTACAATCTCTACCGTTACCTTAAAATTAAATAAAAGTTTTTATCACTCACCATGGCATTGATGTGCAGCAGCGAAGTTATCCGTTATTATGTTGTCGTTAAAACTACGTCTGAAACATACAAATATAAAATTCATTTATAACAAGGCTGTGGAATTTCATATCCGGTGTGTAAAATAATAAGCAGATATAAACACGTATGGGAAGATTTTATAAATTTTAAAATTATTTTTTAAATAGAAATTTTCATATTTATAAAAATCTTTCTCTCTAATTTTCTCTTTAATTCCTTTAAATTATAAGAACGAATTATTATGCGTACGATTTATAACAATTGATATACAAATAATAAATATTCACCATCAGGTTGCTTCGCCGATGCAAGATCAAGCTCTACCATCAACAAGCCTCTACCAGGCCTTTTCCTCCTCTTATGTTGTTGGCGCGCGATACTTTGACGACACTCCCGCACTCGCGAGCGATATTTTTATATCGCTATTTTCGTTATTTTACGCGCGATACTGAACGGCACTCCCGCACTATTTCGATGCGATTAAAAATTTTATATTTGATCGCGCGATGTATATACTTAATATGTATATACCTTTAACGGCACTCCCTAATATGTATATATCTAACGCGACGCGTTGACGAAGCGTTTGCCATCCGCGGCATGTTGACGGCACCGACGACGCGAAAGGATACTTGGCTTCCCATTCAGGTACCTTAAGATTTATCATAAATTGGAAAATTTAAAATAAACCTCAAGGCCGTCCAGGTACTAAGCCCTCCTACCGCGACAAGGTGTACCCCATGGGAGGGTTATATTATATTATATATAATTTTATATATAATATAATATATAATTAATTTTGTAATATATTATATAAATTTTAATTTGCAAATATAAACGATAAATAAAAATATAAAAGATAAGAGAAAATCTATTATATAAAGCAATGTTCAAAATAATTGTTAGAGAAAGAACTTGATAATATATGGAACGTCTTACATCACTTCCTCACTGTTCGAAGGCCACTGAGGAAATGATCGTAGATCAGAAACATTACCGCGGTACTGTTTATATCGCCAAGGTTGACTATGTAGAGAGAGAATTTGATAATATATGAAACGTCACTACTTTATTGTTCAAGGTTACTGTGCGAATGATCGTAAGTCATAAAACGTCGTTGAAATATTTCATGAATGATTGTCGATTAAGAAAAATTTAAAGCATTGGTCGAAATTTATTTAATTTTAATAAGTATCGTTAGAGAAATTATTATAATAAGCATCAACAATCGAAAGATTATAATCAAATTAATTTCTTTATCCCCTTTTATGTTCCCTTTTTCAATTTTTATTCGCAGTAATTAATGATTGCGATTCGAAAAGATATATATCGTTGCGATACATTTTCATGATCTTTATCATAAGTTAATTTATTTTTAATATGTTCGTTATCGAAATATTTTACGTACTTTAACATATATATATATATATATATATATATATATATATATATAATAAGCAATATAGCTATTTTGAAAATAATACATATATAAATAATAATAATAAATAAATAATTTTTATAAATTACTCACTAATAATAATAATAATAATAATAAATAATTTTTAGAAATTACTCACCGCATATCTCTCTGACTGCTTCAAGCTTTTTCACTGCTCTCTGAGTGTCCGATATTTTGCCAGGTGTCCTTCTTTTTTCTTCTTCATGCTTTGCTGTTTCCTTATAGTACTCATATTCACTCGCGAACAAACAATTTATTATATTTATTCATATACTATAGAAACGATCGCGAGACTTTTGCACGGCACTCCCAATCGCGGAATAATTACGAGAAATGCACATTAATATATCGTATAAGGGATAAAGAAGTACGATTCGCTCTACAATAGTCGAATTATATATATTTCAATACTAATCGCGATCGCGTTTAGGAAAAGAATTCAATAATACGAAGCGTTTTGTATCACTACTTTGCCGTTGGAATGTCGTGTGAATAATACAATGTCGTCTATGTATTTATAATTTTTGCCTCTTTTGTTTCAATTTTTATTTGAAATAATGAAGGATCGCGTTTCGATGGATGTATCATCGCCATATAGTTTTATGTTATTTATTAAGAGTTAATTAATTGTTAATTGTAATAGTCGTAGTGAATTATATTTCGATATTAATCGCGATCACACTGTTAGAAAAGGAATTCAACAATACGAAGTGTTCCGTATCATTACTTTACTACTGGAATGTCGCCGTGCGAATGATACAAGGTCTTCGCCTATGAAAACAATACAGCGCTACGTCATCAAGGCCGAACGTCGTATTATTGACCTCGCTGCCGAAATATTTTACGCGTACTATGACGTACATATACGAAAATTGAATTTATATACAAGTATATTTTTAAAGTCTTACACACACATGATACACACACAGATGTACATGTACACACAGATTAATTATTTATTAAACGATTAATATACATCACATGCCTTTCCATTACGATAATTATTCGATTTTGCCATTCGATCGTTTTACTGCGCGTTCTCAGACGAATTATATATATTTAAATCATCACATAATTATATGATAAAGCATCAGACGAAATATTCTTAATTATAAATATTAAAAAAAGAATAATTATTGTTCCTAAGGATTGCGACAAAATGATAATTTATAATTTTGATTCCGGTCACACACATCGATTCTTAATTGCATTCGATTCTTTTATACGTTTAACGTTTTGACGTTACTTATCACCCTTTCTTGAGAGATAAATTTGCCCTGCGGGTGTTTGGTCAATTTCACACATTTTCAAATTTTAACTTGAAGGGGGGTTCATTTGCGGATCCATGTTCATAAGAAAAAAAAGTCTTATTTTGACATCTAGAATACGCTCTTAAAGTTTAGTGCATTTCAGATACATCCTGTATATGTTATATTAATTATATTAATATTTTTGAATAAAAAATGAAAGAAAAAGAAACAGTAATTAAGAAAATAGAAAAAAGGCAATTACAATGATCTGAATATCTGAAACCCTCTCTCCTCCTCCTCCTCCTCCTCCTCCTCCTCCTCTCTCTCTCTCTCTCTCTCTCTCTCTCTCTCTCTCTCTCTCTCTCTCTCTCTCTCTTTGAGTGATTTGAATATCTATACCCGAGAGAACAAATGTCCATAGAAAATATTCCGATGGACTTCATAGGAAGGAATAAGCATGATAAATAATGATAATCCTTATGATTTTAACACAAAGGAATACAATAAACCATAATAATCCAAGAACTCGAAGAAGAGAATATATTGGATAGAAATGCATATTGATTGATGATTAGAAACTAAAAGATAGTATGCATACAATCTATTTATTAATAGTAATACTATTTTGTAATTGTATTAAATTTTATAATTTAGCACATTGTATTATATAAAGTATTAAGCATAAAAATATTATGCTGATATAAAAATTATAATAAAAATATATAAATAATGTTGACTATATTAAAATGGAACATATGAATTCTTTATATTTTGTATAAAGAAAGAGACATTTAAAATATTTTACAATATCTACATTTTTCGAATCTTAATTATAAAACTTTAGAAGAATCAGTGATTAATTGGAAATTTTATACATGTATTAATAATTAAATTTTTAAATAATTAAAAAAATCATTAATATCAAAGAGAATTAAAAAATTGATAAATCAAAGATCAGTTTACTGCTAATTAAGATTGATAGAAATAAAGTTAAAAATGTTTTTATTCCACAGCAGGCATTTTGTGTTTTGTGAATAAAAATATATAAATATGGCAATGAATAGAGAAAAATATTTATTTCTTCTTTGAATATTACATTGGAAGATTACAGTATCTTTCGCGATTGAATAATTTATTTACTATCAATTTATATACATGAGTATCTTGTTATACTCTGGTGTTACCGACATTTCGTGCACATAGCACGGAACGAAACCAGAAATTGTGCACATGATACCCTCTGAGAACATTCATGTATATTGGCTTTGTAGTTCATGTCCACGTTATCAATGTCCATAGAGGGAATATCGCTTTCAGGGATCACCTAAAAGCAGGCCATAACATCTCTCAGTATTCTCTCTGCTGATATAATGGATATCCATAGATATCCTTTTCTATTGAATCATTTCCCTACTTTTCTGGTCAAATTCAATTATGCATTATGACCAGGAGCTTTAAATTAAACTCTAATATTGATATTCATTTACATATACTTTTACAAATTAATATTGCATTTTTTTTATATTTTATTTATATTATAATAAGCAATATTGTACTCATATTTTCCAATTATTTTATATTTCATTTGCCAGAGCACTAAAATAAAAAAAAATTTTATTGTAATTATTATAAAATAATTATGGAAAATGTGAAAACAATTTCTTCTGTATACAAGATGCTATGATACAGTAAAGATGCTGTGATACAAATATTTCTACCGTTTGAAAAATAATCTTAGAAATATATTTCTAAGATCACATATTTCTGCAATTTTATAATCTTAAAAATAAAAATAAAAATTAGATTATTAGAAATAGATTATATATAATTATTAGTTATTATATTATGAAATTATCATACTTAAAAATTGATTACATAAATATATAATACTACATTATTATTGTATTCTGTATACTATTAGAGCTATTAAAAGTAAATAGAGACAAATGTGAAGAGTAAATACAAATTCATTTTATTTCCAATTTGCGTTATATCTATAATTTAATGATCGGTAATAAAAATACTTATTTTCTAAAATGTACAGTTACTTTTCATCAAATCTTTTAATTTATTATGGTTTTTATTGTAATATTAATGAGACTGGCGGTGTTAGAGTTAGCTCTCATTTATGTAATTTTTTTATCAAAGTACATGTTTAAATACGATTATGGTAATTTATGATACGGATAACTGGTCCCGAGTGATTCTCGCGTCTTACCTGGATATATAAATATCCATTATTTTTGTATGCCAAAATATATCACTGTACAATTTTATCCATTATTCATATGCAACCTATAACTTTCCTTTGCCCAGTATCCTCCAGATCTGAAAAGCATAATTTCTTTTAATCCAATAAAACAATATATTATAAATATACAAAATAAATAATATATCCAAAATGATTAATTATAATAATATGGTGCGATTTATAATAATATGCTGCCGATTTAGAAAAGGAAGTATTGTCCATAATGAAGAAATGAATGAAAACTAATAATAAATAAGTAATCGTACATAATACATTGCTGCAAAAGTTGTGATATAAGCTGATAAAATTTTAAAGCCAAATGAAGATATGCTCGTTATTTTTATATTCTCAAAGTGTATGTTACAAAGACAGAAATATAGATTTTGCAAAGAAGAATGAGAATATATAATTCATAAAAGTATAACCTTATGTTTCAGTAACTCGATTTTTAATATCATTAGTCGAGTTAGACTTACAAGTTAGTTTAGATGATTACTCGAATGAAGCTTTAATTGTGGTTAGAATGTGGGTGAGTTCAAGTTAGGGCTACCCGGTGTTGACGAGGGCGTTGATGGGGTACCTGGTGGCGATGCCTCCAATGGGCAAACCAAATTGCCAAAATCCATTTCGTTTTTACTTTTTTTACGCTTCAACGTGAATTGAGATTTCTTTGGTACCTGAAATAAAAATTGAATCATATGTTATCTAACATTTTTAGGAAACGCATTAATATTATTACAATAAAATAGATTGTATATGAGATAATTATAAGAGATATTATAAGACTATTCTCTCCAACATAACGACATTAAAATGTATTAAGTAAAATTCTAAACACCTTTAATCTGGCTGTAAGCGTCAACGGAACAAATCCAAGTGTGCTTTCTATTTCTCTCTTATGCTGCACAACTTCTCTGCCGAGGATCTGATTGAAATGTGTCGTCAAGTGCCTACGAAGTAAAGTCTTTGCCGGCGGAATGCTGAGTAATGTCGCTAGCAGCTCGGAAGTGAATCGATCTTCGTGGATCATTAGACCGCCATGTACGCCGGAGCCGCGCATGTTTGGTGCGTATTCCGCAAGATCTACGACCCGCAGCCATTCCATCACGCGATGATTCGTCCAGAGAGTTACATTGCTACCATCGGCGCCATTTCCACTCGCGGATCTTCTCTCCAAATTGTCAAACTCAAAATTCAAGTCTCGCAAAACCTGCAATTTGTACAAATCTCGTTTCGTATATCAATATTAAATATATAAATTATATTAAAGCTTCCATAAATAATTTAAGTATGATATAAATAACACATGTGCGAGATACCTGAATTCCGCGTCTTAAACTGGCAGCATGCAATTGCGCAGTCACTCCGAGATTCAGTAGATCTTCCGTGGTCAGTCTGTGCAGGACTCTACCGTCAACTTTTGCGTGGTGAAAGGCTTCCTTGTGTTGCGGTAAGCCAATGTCATCCAGCCATCGTAATACTGCTGCATTGTCCATCTATGAGACATAACAGAAGATTGTTTTGGTCTGGGATTTTTTCTCAATGAAACACATCAAATTTAAGTAAAGCGCTTTAAAACCTTGTGAGAACCGAGAAATCCAGCACCGTTGCTTCGCTCCGATTCGATGGCGTAAAGAAGCTTTTTTCTGTGCAGGATATTTTTCATGTCCAATTCTTTCTCTAGTTGTATCTGTGTGGCATCGAGCAATTTTGGTCCAGTGGCACCCCATCGTCTTAGTTCGGCGGTGTAGCACTCCAAACCGAGGCGAGTCAACCAATCGCCAATTTCTTCCATGGTAAGTTCCGCGAGCGGTTTCAGCGGCGGCGGTTCCGCGCTTGCCTCGCAGATTATGATTTTTGCCTCTTCCGCTAGAATAATAATAGCTATTTATAATTGCTGATTTTTTGATTATTTAATGACAATATTACACATATCTTAATGTAATGATATTTATATTATTAGTCCTTCGCAATCTTATTTATTTCAGTTGCATGTATGTAATTCTCTAAATAAATAATACGATTATAAATTAGCAAATGCATCTTTGTATCGTCAAATTCTTTAAATAGTATACAAGTGGATAACATGAACGATCATAAAATTAGAATAATTTAAAATTAGAGGAAATAGCATATGTTTACATACATTTAAAATTAATTTGGACTGCAAAAATATAAATAATGTATGCATTAAATAATGAGATTAACAAAGTCATGTGCATGCGCGCATTATTAGCCGTGAATGCCTTGCAAGCGAGTTACTTGTCAACATGCTGTTATTATCGATTAATATTGCGCGGCGATTATGGATTTTGATTGAATAAAAAAAAAATCTAACTGTGACACCGCATGCTTAGATAAAAATCGATCGGAACCTAGAATAGGAGCGGACAGGCATCTCGCGGCGACTCCCCTGACAGCCAAGGGTACTGTCGTATGCACTCCCGAGACTAAATTTGGAACCTTACCAAATGCAACACCCTTCTTGGATGTCGGTGGCCTAGGGAGACTACTATATTGACCCGTATGTCTGCTAAATCTTTCGCCCTGTAAATGTCAAATGTCATTGTTTACTCGCTGATATTTTGATTGTTTAACGTGATATTCATAAATATTCTTTATTTTTTATTTTAATATGTATATTAATCAATTAAATAAATATATAATATACTAACATTCGATAAAGGACTTGTACTACGCAGCGCCAAATTCTCGTGCTCCAGACTAGTTTGTCTAAGTTTCATTTCGGACAAAGAGGTGAGAAGTTCAAGCTTTTGCGTCTCCAGAGCGCTTCTCGATAAAACTTCCTTTAAGACAGAAAAACTCTCGTTTATTTTAAGCTCTATATCAGCAATATGATTACGTAATCGTATCCTACCTTCTGCAAAGCCTCTTCCATCTGCCTCAAACTATCTTTCTTTTCTTGGAGTATGCTCTCCAGCTCTTGGATTTTACTTGATTGTGCGTCAACTTGCTCGGACAAAACTGACACTTCCATATGCAGGGCTCCACGTTCACTTTCCAGTTTTCTCAGTCGTTCCTGAAACGAATGAAACAGAATCGATAATGTTTTGATAAAAAATTTTAAATATATAACGCAATATATTATTTTGGAAAAAGAAGATTGGGAAATAATTCATAAGTATAGATACACATATACATATATAATTGAAAGTTTTATTGCGAGCTCTCTTTTATATACAGTGTACCTCGGTTTTACTATGGTAATTGTTCATGCAAACATCGCTTCCGCAGTGAAACTGCTGTAGCGAGCAATAGTGACGCGGCCTCTCCCTCTCGTGGCAGATCAGATCGCTGTGAGACATGGCTCTCTGATCGCGATCCACTCTACTGCGTAATCTGCGTCGTCTTCTGCCCAGAGAACCGCTACTCGATTCTACAGGCAGTGATGTCGTGCTGTTCGTTCTACTACCCGTCTGCATTCCATGCTCTTTTACGCACATCGGACCTTGGTGCAGGTGACAAATGGGCGGATAATGACCGACGTGTTCCTTAACGGCGTGATGTGTCAACTCGTTGGATACGCTGTCGGTTAGCAAAAGGAGTTCGAAGGGTGTTTTTTCTCGGATGTTATAAAAATATAAAAAGAATTAGGATGTGCTAGAAAAAATAGCGACCTTGTACACGGCGTTGCACAGAGAGATGAGAAACTTCCCAGATGACTGGCGGACGACGCTGGGCAGATATTAGACATACCGCTGGATACTGCACAGATATTAGGCATACTCCCTTGAAGCGCTAGCATCTTAGCATAGCCGAGTAAGCAAGCCTACAACGATATCATCAATACCTCACGGAAGAGACATATCTCACTTATTTCTCGGGATATAAAAATTTTTCTTTCGTTAATTGACAAATATTTATGTATAAATACTATCGATACTATCTATAAATATATATACATGTCTTCCTGTTTGATCTCTCTCTGTCTTGAGTCTACCTGACATAAGCATTCTTGCGATCGGTAGGCCGCCTCACACGCGATTGTCGTCCTCGCGATGCCCGGTGGATAATCCTCGACGTACTCGTCACCCGCGTCGGAATCGGACGATGTGCCCGATGAGTCGTAACCTTCTGAGGGCGTCCATGAGCTGTTCCAGAGCTTTATAGTCGACGCCGCGTCCGACGAGTCCGATTGCGAGCCTGAATTTAGATATTTAGATTAAAGCTTTTTTTAATCCGCGAAGGCTTCGAGAGATCTCTCTCATTCAGTACCACCCGCGAGGATGGTGAATCTATTTTTCGCGCCGCGTCCGACAGTTGTAACTCCGCGTGTTTACTCAAACATTGAAGCAACACAATTGATCTCGCGTACTGCTATATACTTGTATGTATAGAGTCAATGAACGTTATGAACCTTCGACACAGTCCGCGGTTAAGGCAATCTATTTCGAGCATGCTCTATCAAAAGCATGACTTCGGTGCCAACCAGCCAGCCAGCCAGCCAGCCAGCCGATTTTAGTGCTTGAATGCGAGTCTCGAGATTACCTCGACGTCTGCCAAAAATTTTATCGTATTTTTCGAAATTGAAACTCATCGAAAATGTAGTCTTACTCTTACGAAAACCTTCCAATTGCGTTTCCAAATTCGATTGAAAAAAAAATTATTTATTCTAGACATATTTTTGATCTGGTTTATGTTGATCGGAAGATAAATTCTGTTTTGATATCGTCGCAATAATTTTGCAATGTCATATATATTAGCGCCAATATAAAGATGACTAGAGAGATGACAGGAAATTGAAGAGACCTTTTGCTTGCCCCTTATCTTCTTCTTCTATTATCGGGGCGAGATTTTTTCGTTCCACAGCGATAACGTCGTTCCATGAAGCATTTTCCATAATGAATTTGTTTGCGTTTTATTCTTCGAAATTACCGTGTTTCTGCCTTCTAATTAAACTTATTGTCAGTATTATGCACATTATGATCTGTTCCAGCAACAGATTTATTAAGCCATGCATAAAAATGTTGTCAGGATACTTTTCTTAACAAAAAAGAAGTCACGTTTTTATTCCTTACTTTTCAATAGACATTTGGTACGATGTCAATAGACAAGCAAAAGTTGCAGAGTGTATTGGCTCTGCACACTCCAATGACACGTTCGTACACAATAGAACGTTATCTCGATGAGATGCACTCTCGCGTTACCAACCGCGGCATCGTCTCAGCCGAAACTAAAATTAACGTCATGAAATCCTTCGAGAGGAGCGGGAGCGAGTACGAAAACGAAAGAGAGAGTGAGAGAGAGAAGCGCGACAACAATTTATAAATAGATCAGTGTCCTCTCTTCTTGTTACCTAGAAATTACAGCCATTAGACAGCTTTTCGCCGTCCAGCGTCCATCTATTTAAACTCGATAAAACGAAACTTCAATAATCTAAAAATAATAATAAATAATAAGTTACACAATCAGTTTGTAACAATGTAACAAGTAATATATGTCATCATTATCTTTACAATTTACATTTTGCTAATAAAAGAAAATAAAAGAAAATAACAACTTAAGTATGCATAATAACGCAAATCGTAATTATTATATATCAATTTTATATTATACTTACTTATATTATATATTATACTTACCTCTCTCTCTCTCTTGTGAAGGAGTGCGTAGTTTTTTATCACATATCACGTTGAAAGGCAAATTGTTTTAAAGGCAAATATCACTCTATAAAAAGTGATGTTGATTAATCGAAATCAAATCGTGGATTTCTAACGGCATTTTATCCGGTCTTTGGGCAGTCTGTAATTAGGAGCTAACAAAGTTAGGCGTCCGGATGTGGACATACGTGACACGTGCATATTGACGTATAAGTCCGGAAGTGAAGCGGCCCCGGATGCACGCGACGAACACCCGTTGCACGTGTCTCACGCGCGTCGAAACGCACGTCTGAAACCGAACATTGTTTACGACACATCGCCAGGGTATCTACTCAAATATTGTAAAAACATTTTTTTTGAAAATTCCTTGATCTTCTAGATATTTTTGTTCAAAATTTTAAATAAAAAGAAAATATTCTAAAGATTCTCTGATACAATTATTTAAAATAAATTTTGTTATTATATACATTTTCTATAAATGTATATTTTTACTTATATGAAGGCAAAACTTAGTGTTATTTAAGTTTCAAGAGTTACAAATGTAAATGTATTTAAAAAACTAAAACAACTTTTGTAAGATAATATTTTGTTAAGACATTGAATATATGTAAACAGAAATAGATGTATATTTATATTTTAAACACATAATTCACAACTTTGCTTATCGGTGAATTACCGATTGCTTATGATATAAAAACAAATTATCAAAGAATTTTTTTAAATTGTAAAGTAAGTTCCTTCTATAAGTTTCAAAAATTCTATGGAGGATTTCCCTACACTTTTTTCAGGTACAAATGAAAATTTCAGCTTTTCAAGGAGTAGACATCCTGAAGCAGTCGAGAAAATGTTCGAATCGCCTTTTATGGAATAAAATCGGTGCGGAAATAGTATTATCTTTATCTATCCGCTTACCGGTTGCATCCATTGCAACAGGATATCTTCGGTAGCGGCGTCGGGTGGCGGGGGTGGTGTCGGCGCGCTTTTTATCGCAGTCACAAGATTTCTCGCTGCTTCCTTCACCGAGTTTTTCCACTCTGAACTTCCGCTCTCGGCCGAGCTTTCGGCGCAAGCACCTGTAAATATATTTGACAATATAAAAAGCGATTACAATGAATGTTAATTAAAGTTCAAAGTACAAGAATGAATCTGTGATCATGTATAATTTACTCTATTTTAGATACAATATAACCATATCTGTAAAATAAATTAATTTATTAATCTATATTTAATAATCTGTAAAATAAATTAATTTTCTAAACTAATTTATTAATTTATCTTATTCTTGAAAAAACAAATTTAAATATTTAATAAATTAAAAAAACTAATCCTTTTATTTTTTTTATTTTATCTTTTTGAAAACAACTTTAATGATATTTTTGTGATTAAAATAATATAAAACATAATATATAATTTGGATAATTTTCAATTAGATGTATGATAAAAATCTTTGAACTGAAAATTATTTAAATTGTATCTAGTACAACTTGCCGCAAAAATGTGATTAATCTATTAAAATCACTTTCGAAAAAAGATAATTTAAAAACACTTTAGTTTTTTTATTATATTAAATGAGACTTATTGTTTTTATTATTATATTTTTGTTATATAAAACACAAGAAAAATAATATTATATTTTAAAAAAGTAATAGAAAAAACCACACAAATTTGTTTTTTTAATTAAAAAAAAACACATTTTTCCCTATTAAAAAAAACGGTTTGTATCTCTATCTCTTCTCTCGTTTAAAATCGCATCAATATCAATGTGTTAGCAAAATTCAGATATCCATGTTTATATTGACAAATGATACATCCATAAATCTCGATGATACCGGAAATAATGTCGTCCATCTGGAGCAGCGCGGCCTCCAGCATCTTGCTCGCCTCGCTCGAGCTTTTCACCAGGAAGGTTGACTCTCCCGCCTGCGCTGTCGTGCCGTTCCTCTCCTCACCTTTGCCCATCACCATTTAACGCTGCAAGAGGTAAATATATCTTTCTTAAACATTTTTTTCTCAAACATTCTTCCAACGCGCACTCCGTACAAACAATTTTTTTCGCAAGACTCGAAAACACAGAAACGATACTAACGAGACGAGAACTTCAGCCGCGCTGATTCATACGATTTTCCAGACGGCGTAGCTGCACCGTCATGGGGCAGAATGCACTCGCTAGGACGATAATTGCGTCGACGAGTTTAGGAGCATGCCGTTAAACAGATGCGGAAATGTTGAAGTTACGAGCGGCTCTTAATTTTATTTCAAATTTAATGACAGTCTATACATATACCTGAAGATGAAATTATGTTGCATTGAAGTATAAAAACAAATAAGCAGTTACTCTTGGCAAATAAAAATAATGACTTTAAGATTAAGATTTTTTATGATTTTAAAAAATTTCTAGATTATTGAAGTTTATGATGAAAAATACATTCGAGTTATATTATGTAATAAAAAATCATAAGAGATACGGTTATATAATATTTGTTGAGAGAAAAAGAGAGAATGATACTTTGTGTTTAAATCTAATAGCTAACTATAATTAAGAAAAAACGAATGAAAAAAAGAGAAGTAAGCTCTTTAATCAATCATATAAACTTCACATAAATTTTGATATAATCTTTAAATGCGGGGTCGATTCTAAACTCACAGTGTACTGTCGCTTGGTAAATACCTGTATTAACAGAAATCTCTTGAATTTTAAAAATTAGATTCAGTTATATCTTTGAAAACAAATAACGAAATATCGATTTTTTTGAGAAACTGCACAGTTTCAGGAGCCGAGAATAGAGATATATAGCGCTTACATTGTGACGAAGATTGATCCCAGAAGCACTTTACATATGCAAAGTGACATTCTTATCAGTGATAAGAAACATATGATGAATTTGCGTTGCGACGATCGATCACGAAAAAAAAACATTAGCGAGAGAGCGAGAGCGAGAGAGAGAGAGAGAGAGAGAGAGAGAGAGAGAATATATGAGAGGAGGAGAGAGATCGAAACGTCACAAGATGAATGTTTGTCTCTTATCGCGATCTTACCGTGTCGTTTCATGATAACGATGCTAAGAACATCGAAGAATCGGATTACTGTTAATAAAACAATGAAGGATTACGCGTGGAAATAATGCGCGAGCAACGATCAACAGGTATCGAGGAGCAACGCCCAAACACTTTGCCACCATAACGTGTACATTCTCCGTCTTTCTGGCTCTTCCCCACCGTCTCTTCTCTCTCTCTTACTCAATGTATCTCTCTTTCTATCATTCTCTCTTTCTTTTCATCTCTTTCGTTTCCTTAATCTTTCCTTGCGGGTCTATTTTAATTTTAATTTATAATACATTAACATATCTTTTGAAATTAAAAAAAAACAAAAAGAAAGAAGCCGAAAAAGAAAGAATAGTAGCCTCTATAAATTAGAATGATGTGTGTGCATTTATTATTATTTTACACCATTAATATTTTCAATTTACACAAATATTACTTCTACGAAAACCGTCACTTTCTCATCGATACAATTAGAATGATTTTTATATGGGGAATAAATAATCCCAACAATGATGAAATTAGTGCTATATAAATAATAAAAATACGCGGTGTATGAAATTGTAGATACCTGTTTACGCCAATCGGTCAACTGTCAACTCGCGGATGCTGTCGTAAATTCGACAAACGATACATCGATAAACGTACAAAAATCCAAGAGAGATTATCAATTCATACCAGCTACAAAGATGTTCCCTCGCATCTCGCGCCCGACACAACAATGTCAACAAACAACACGATGACGTGCACCGCGAGAGACGAGGTTAGTTTCGCGGAATCGACGCATCGACGTGAAACTCGCGCGTTATCGTAACTCGAGAGTAGTGCTCGAACTACGAACGCTATTGATATTCGATCGCGCGCACTTCAAATTAAGTTTCACGCCAACAAACGCTAATAAGGATCGGGATAAGATTCGGGGACGAATCGAGGACGGAACTCGCGTAAACACGCGTGTGACGCGGATGACGTTTGATAGGCCGCCGCGTGCTGCCAACGCAACGCGAGTCGCGAGGTTATGTTCGGGACACGTGCGCGCGGCCCCGACCCGCGCGAACTTGCGTCCGCGGCGAACTTCACGGCCCGCGTCCCGGTGCGCGTCGACGGACGGCGTCGGCGCGAACCGTCCGCGGCGCCGCTTCGCCTCGTATCGTCATCGCGTCCCAGCGGCAACCGCGCGCGGTTGGCAGCAGTGCCGATCACGAGCGAGAGAACCCTGTATTATCGCGCTACGGATATCGGACTCGCGCTTCCGTTACATTTTATACTGGCTCGGAGAGACGGAGGGAAGGTTAAGATAAGCATCGGTGTCGCAGAGAGAGAGAGAGAGAGAGAGAGAGAGAGAGAGAGAGAGAGAGAGAGAGAGAGAGAGAGAGAGAGAGAGCGAAAGAGAGAGATGCATGGTGGCGCGTCGCAGCGATCGTGAGCGTTGGCGGGCGGGGGTGCGCGCGCGCGCGCCAGAGGACGAGCGAAATTCCGTCGTGGCGCCGGACAAGGTGCTCCCGTGGGCCTCCTCCCCGTGGAATGTTAGTAAGTGGTCCACGCGAGAGAGGTGTTCCGTTTGTCCCGCCCTTCCTTCCTCTCTGTCTCCATCTGTCTCTCTTCCCCCTCCTTTCCTTCCCTCTGTCGCAAATTCCCCCTCTTTCTCTCTCTTTCTCTCGTCTCCCCCCTCTCCCTCCCCCTCGTCTTCGCCGCCGTCGCGTGCGCGACTGCCAGAGACTTTCCGCGGAAAAGCCGCGAAAACTACGTCACGAGTGACGGATTCGGTCGAAACTGGGACAAAGTGCAGTGCACTCTGGCATTGCGCTTTACCACCAGGTGTTTCTATGCCGTAATCTTCCCAGGATTGGGTAATACTCGTACCGTTGCACCTTGCTCTCTCGATTATCCCGTAGTTATATTCTCTCCGTCTCTCTCTCCGTCTGTCGCGCGCGTATCGCGGATCGCTCCGACTGACAGCGCACCTGACAGGGAGACACGGGTATCGGCGACGGAGAGAGAGCTGACAGGTAAAGGAGGCGTCGAATACGCGTCGAAAGACCCGTACGTGGTAAATACGCGAGGCTCTCGTGGCGCGTGACAAAAACAATCTCGTTTTTTTCTTCTTTTCTGCCTCTCGTCCGTTTCGCCCACGACGACGGGCGAAAAATCGCGCGCGCGCTCCGAGAGAAATTTTCGCGAGCGAACGCCTGCGAGCGAGCGAGATTGCACGACACGACGGCGACGTTTCCACGGGCATGGTGACGACGATAAGCGAGATGACGTTATGTAGGGCACGACGGTGTCGGGTGCTCGAGCGACGTTCGCTTCCTCCACGAGTCTCCTCCCGTTCGCTCGATTTCGTGAAATATGGAACGCGACGAACGATCGATCCTTACGCGCAGTTCTTTTGATATATAAATCCGTTCAAGGTTTTCGAACGAGGACGTCTGTGAGAGAGACATTTAAATAGGACTATGATTTTATGACAGATCACTTAAATAGGCCATGGTTGTTTGAACGGGCGAATAGTGTCTTTGAGTGAATTCTTTGACGTATAGAAATGTCTAGAAATGCGAATTTCATACTAAGTAGGCGTGTGCTACCTGTGAAAGTAAAGCAATCGACTAATATGTGTTTATCGTCCTAGGTTAGATGACGGACTCAGGATAGTCCTTCCGCTTGATAACATGTCAGATGGGGTTGATGGTGGTGGTGGGGAAAACGAGGTAGACTCTCATTCCTCTTCGCACGCCGAGCCTGGAGACTCTTCCAATCATAGAGAGGAAGAGGCGTTAGATCCTGATAACGAGGCTGCACTCAATACCAATTATGATAGTAGTGACGGAGCTGTCCCTGCATTTAGGTGAGATTCAAATTGTGATTTCATATCAGTTGTAGCGTGGCAGCAATAGTTACAATAAGATACCTAAAATTTCTTATCAGTGAAAGTATCCCCCATAATCTTACAAGGTATATATTTACTTAATTCCACAGATGTGATAGGTGTGATAATTATGAAACTATAAATAAGACAGCTTTCTCCGCTCATCAAGATCAATGTTTGGCAAGTGGCGAGGCCGGAGAGAGCGCTGAAGGCATAGAAGGAGCAGAGAATGACGGAGATGGGGAAGAGGGTCATTCAGGGATGAGGTCTCACAGAAAAATGTTTGAATGCGATGTCTGTAATATGAAATTTTCAAATGGAGCGAACATGAGACGGCATAAAGTAAGTATGAAAAGATTACACAACATAAAGATCTTGTGTAATACACGTTACACGTGTAAAATTCATCGATATGACAGTGAGAAGAATTTTGACAGGTACAAATATATAAATGTAACAGTTGTTTGAAGTGAAAATACATATATAATTCACTTAAGTAAAATATAATTTATTTTTTAAGTAAATAACGATCCTTTGCATTCATGATGTTTATATCATTGAATATTTAACTTATTTACCATCAATTTATCTTTTTCAGATGAGGCATACAGGTGTTAAACCATACGAATGTCGGGTATGTCAAAAGAGATTCTTTCGGAAAGACCATCTTGCGGAACACTTTACCACACATTCGAAGACTTTGCCATATCATTGCCCGATATGTAATCGTGGTTTTCAAAGACAGATCGCGATGCGTGCTCACTTTCAGAACGAGCATGTCGGTCAACATGATATGGTCAAATCGTGTCCTCTTTGCAATTATCGTGCAGCAACTATGAAATGCCTTAGGTTGCACTTCTTTAATAGGTGAGTCGGTGTGAATTTTACAAATTATTTGAAGAAAAAAAAGACATTGTCTTTTCTTTTTATTTTATATACGGTTCGTTTTCTATTCACAGACATGGAATAGATTTAGATAATCCAGGACCAAATAGCTCTACATCTATAATGAATAGTTGCACATCCGGAGAAGCGATGCCTTCAGCACCTCTATCCGACAGCGGAGACAGCACTGGCAATCGTTCGACCGACAACGCTACGCCTCCCATGCATTTTCTTACACCTCACGTGGAGATATCCATTCCTTATCCCGAACAAGCTGCCAACCAGCGAAATCCGAGTCCTGCCCCATTGAACGGAGACAGTCCCAATAGCCCGCAGAGCGCCGATAGCAATAGTAATGCGCCGAGCAGTAGTCATCATCAATTAACTATCAATAGCAGCACCATTCATAGGTGAGTATTTAAAGAATAGTTAAATTTATTAATTTTTATCATAATAATCAACATACGCGTTAAACATTATTGAAAATTATTCATCAGAAATTTTACATCTGCGGATTATGTCAATTTTTAATCTCGGGTATATTTTAATCGAAAGACAGAATGTATATAAAATAAAGTAGAAAATATCAACAATTAATTGTATTATGCAAATTATCTGATTGCGATTCTTGATCTTTTTCTCAGAAACGTAGGCGGAGGCGACGAAGCGATTACACCATCGATCTCTTTGATACCGATCAAACAGGAACCCAATAGCAATGGTATGGATGATAGCGGGGCGACATCGAGCAATCTACCGTTGCCATCGTTGATCAAAGTGTCGCCATTGAAGTCGTTGCTGCGCGATGATTTGCGTCGCAAGCTCTCCACCAGTTCTGTCAATAACAACAATAACAGCAGTAATAATAGCGGCTGCGGTGGTGCCGGCGCCAATCCGCATTCGAGGGGTGAACCACCCACCTCGACCAGGCCGGATCCACGCACGAGCGGGCTCCAGTGTACTCACTGTCGCATCACGTTTCCGGATCAGACGTTATACTTCCTTCACAAAGGTTGTCACAGCGAGAGTAATCCGTGGAAGTGCAATATTTGCGGGGAGCAGTGCTGCAATCTGTACCAATTCAATTCGCATTTACTGAGCAAGAGTCATCAATAGCTGGGAGAAGAAGATAGAGAGATATCTGCAGCTAAAATTCGTCTTTCCCCTTTTCGTTTCTTCTTCTTTCCTCCCATTTCTTCGTTGAACGAAAGAAAACAGCAGGCGAATCGGTACGTATATTGTACGTACGTTCAGTGTTCATTAGTATGAAGGTGCAAGTATTTTCTGCGATGTGTCCAGGCATACTCTTAACCAAAAAAAGAAAAAAAGATACTTTAGAAAATCGCAAGAACGTGCCCGTCCCTCCTTCCGCCGAAGCACGACGGTCAGTCAATTGTAAATTATAAATTTTGAATTATTTTTAAAAATCTAAAAAAAAGTATGTCTGTTCTCTCAGAAAATAATGTACAAAGCGCGACAAATTGTGCCTTTTCTTTAAAAGCGAGAGAAAATTTCGAGAAAGAAAAAAGAAATTGCCAACACATACTCGTCCATCATGCTGTTATATTATACGAACTATCCGTCCATAGGGCTTTATTGAGATACTCCGAGCTCTATCATTAGTCTTAAATTAGTGAAATAAGTATAGGACGCGGGCGACAAAGTTGCGAATTGCCCTGTCGATAATTGTGAGAAATAAAAAAAAATATATATATATATATATATATATATATATATATATATATATATATATATATAGTTTGCGCGCCGTACTTTGTCGCGAAAGAAATTACGCTAAAATTTCGGATAAATAGAGATTATTTAGTTGCTCTACGCGGTTTGAATGCTCGAGACGAATGTGACGACGCGGATATTCAGTGAGTACATTTTATAGACGAAGAGAAAAACGCGTTCATTATTGTCCCAAGACCAGGCCGTCGAAGAGAGAAAAAAAATACAAAGTAACTGAAAAAGTACACACACTTGAAAGCTATACGCATCGAATTTATATAGCAGAAGAGCGACACCGATGGTGGAAAAATTCACTCTTAAATGTACCTAGAATTTCACGAGCTTGGGAAGAGATAATTAAATTGTCAAGACAATTTCGAAGATTTTGAAAGCATCGCGTTAGTTGCAAGCATGTCGACACTGAGTACATCCCGTATTGATACATTTGAATACCAATGGATTACGATAATATGTTGACTGTGACGCAATCGCTTCGAGGAATTATCGGATTCACTTCTTTCTGTTATTTTTTTTTTACATATATATAGGAACGTGTCGCATTTGTTGCACCGGTAAAATCGGTGTAAAATTGAGAGATGAAAAATGTATAGGGCACAAATGAGCCAAGCTGGACATGCGTTATTATTATTAAAATACGACAGGGAGCAAGTTCGAGAGATGTGACCTGAGCCGAGAAATCGTATTGTACCGAGCAGGCAGATATCTCGATGTCAATCTAATTTGGCCAAGGTCACTTCTCTCCGCCTTTCGCCTTTGATTCGATAAATATTTTATATATAAATATTTGTACAGAAAAAAGAAAGAGTATTAGAGGAGAGAGCACGAAAGGAAGAAAATCGAGATAGCAAATATATATAAATATATATTATATATACATAATATATATGTATGTATAAATATATATATACGCATAGTCACACAACATAGACACACAGATATCTGTATACGGATATTATATATAAATATATACATATATATATACATACATATATATATTATGTCCGTCTCAAAAAGATGGAGAGATACACACACATATATACACTGCGGACACTGCTGTAAATGGTTATAGTTATTTAAAATAACTATTCTGTATATCGCGTAGTATTTAATACGATTATATAATATTATTTATTAGAGTCTAATTAATTTATTATTGCTTTGCATTCCACATGAAGACCGAGATCACGGGACTATCGATTAAATAGGCGAATATCGTAATAGAGTTAACGGTGCTTTTCTAACAGAACCGATAATATAATAATTTAATGGGCGAACTTTTACGAATAAAAAAAAAGAACGAAGAGAGATCCATCAGATAGATCTCGCTTGTAAAAGTGGGTATACATTGAACGGAACGAACAACGAATATATGAATTATCAAGTATTCCTTACTTGCTTATTTTTTTTCCTTTTGTACCTGATATTCGTTTTGGACTGTATTTTTATTTATATTGTACACAAATTCTGTTTGTATCGCCTCACGAGCGATGGATCCTAATCGAACGTTGATGAAGGTTCCGTTTGTAATTTAGGTATACATTTCCCGAACTTTAACAACAAACATTTTTATTCGTTGATCGTTCACTTAATGTATACCCATCTTAAAAAACGAATGCAACGTACACGAATTAATCTTTGATCGATATACGTATTTAAGAGCTGTCGCGAAACTACTACTATTTTGTATGCAAGGCACGTATATTCATTATTATTGCTAGAACACGTTCTCGTCATTCGCACTTTCGATCCTTATTAAAGCATCATTGACGTACAAATCTTTTTAGATACCTTTACAATTACAAAAAAAAACAAATACGCGCGCGCGCGCGCGTTCGTCGTACTCTCGCGCGGGTCCTCGGGAGCGGAGTCGTGAACAAAAAAAAGTGCCTGATTGGAAGTAATGTCTCGTCGAGAAGCAAGGAAAGCTGCGTGTATTCGCGTGGAAGGAAAAAAACAAAGGGATCTGATGGGATCGAAAAGGAAAGGCAGGAGGAGAGAAGGAGATGAGATGCGATTGTCGAAGATACGCGGACCAGGAGGAGCGTATGCGTTAAACCCGTGTTCACCGTATGTGCTTACCGCTTTAGCGTATATAGCGACGCCTTTACACTGTGATCACGTTTACAAAGAAAAAAAATAGTCTTAAAGCTAGAAGATAGACGTAAAGGTATATATCTTAGGGCAAGCGAGAGTACGATGAGAGAGGCGCACGGCCTCGGCAAAGTATGTGGTAAGACAGGCGTTTTAGACACCGCATCCTGACCTACTCGCACCTTCCCCCTCGCCTCCCCCTTCCTCCCTCTCAACACTTATTTATACGACATGCAAATAAAGATATATTTAAATTGATAAGAGAATGGAATAGAAAAAGAAAAAAAAATATTGTTGATGTTACGGTGTAATGGGTACAATCTAAATACATGAATATTATGTATATAAGGAATAGAATGGAGAAATTTTTATCGTACGTCATTACGTCTTATTTTTGCTCACCAATTTCCCTCGCGTAAATAATCAAAGTAATTCGACAAAATTACTTGTTGGATTATTTATTTTGTAAATTTTAATTTCATATTTATTAACAAAAATATCGAGAGTATTCGAAAGCTACTAGCTATTTAAAGTAAAGAACTATTCGGAAATGAAACTTTAGAGAAAAAATAATGAAAAATCATTTATCTTACTATAATCTTAACTCTCAATTAAGATATTTTGAACTGTATTGTAAATATATAATATTTATAAGATAAATCTATAAAATCTATAATAAGATAAATCTATAAATCTATAAAAACTAATGACATTTCGCTTGCGATATCTTTGTTAAAGAAGAGATGCTTCTATTTTAATCAAAATCTCAATCATCGAATCTCGGAAATACCTTGTATATTTTATACTAAACATCATAAATTATTTTGAACGATTGATTATAAAAGCGAAAAATCAATCGTTCCACAAGAAAAATGAGACTCTTCTCTTGAGTGTATTTGTATTAAAGTCTTATTTTATTGCTATTATACGTGTATACAGAAGCGATTTATATTACAATGTTTGTCGTGTTAAAGCTATTAGAGAAAGAGAATGAATGAGTAGAAGAAGGAAATAAATAGGGTCCTCTGGATACGTGTCGCTTGTAGCTCGAATTACACTCGAGCTTCAGGACACGATAGGAGACCGCGACGTCTTTTTACGTTAATTTTATTAATTTGTCAACAGAAAATGTGAAACAGAAAAAAATGAAAGAGGGAGAAAGAGAAATATAGAAAGAAGAGTTTCACCTGACCTAACTGGACGCAATAGTGAACAAATTGTGCTTTTGTTCATCTAATTGTCGCGCTATCTTATACAAAATAAAATTCCGACTTGTTGCACCAACGATATATACTATATGTATAGATAGATAGATATAACTAATTATTTTAAACTGACTTTCTTAATTCATCATTCTCTGGATAATGTAAGCAGATCGTTCAGATCATAGCACCATTAACAACATACATGTGTGTCTTATAAATTATGGGTTAAAATTAAGAAGAGGGCGAAAAAAATTTATTTCTGAAAAATTAAATTATAATTAATCAATCGCGCTCAAGTTAAATAAAAATATTTTAATAAATTCGATATATTTGTTACGACGAAGGACGCGAAATTTTTTTTTAATCTAAAAATAGATATATACTTCGAAAATTAATTATATATCGCTTACCTATAATTATATTAACGATTTTTAATCGATGTTTCTTTTTCCCTCACTTTCGAGTCTAATTACCAGCTATAATATACATATATAGAGATAAAAAATTTAGATAATCACGAGTTAACTAAACGTTGGTGCAACCGGTTTAATGTATGAGTATTCGGTTGCCTGGTTGTAACAATAAATTACGTTACTGCACTTAACAATATCTTATAAAATACACAATTCAGCCTACTCCTTTTGCTCTCGTTTCTTCGGATCGCATGTTATATACTCTTCGCGCAAAAAAAAATATACGAGAACGAACGACAAAATTTTATTTCATGAAATTAATTGTAATTTTGACAATTCTTTTTTTTTCTACGAAATAAACTACAAATAATATTTATATACTTATATAGGAATTATATATTAAATACATTTTTTAATTTTTCGTGCTTTTTCCTCAATGGAAGCATTTGGAAAATTTTTTCGCGACTTTATATTATTAAAACAAAAGCGCGATAGATGTATAATCCCTCGTCCCCTCTTCCTACATCGAGAATTCACGGGATCTCCGCATGTCGCCGTCAATTTCAGCTTGTACGGTTTACTCGGTTTAATGCGAATTTAACTCTAACAATCGCACTAATAGAACGTGACGCAACGTGCTCATAAGCGAGTCTAAGGAGTCTCGTGTCAGTTTGGCTGAATAGACGATTGTCAGTCAGTGGCCTGATTCGTCTTGTGACTGAGAATGGTTTCGATGTTGCGCTGAATCCGCGCGATCTGCGATCGCTTACTCCTCGTCGGCGTCATCGTGCTCCCCTCTTCAATGTACAAGTTGCCGGCCGCCGCCTCCGGCCAGCCAGTCGCTGTCGTTGCCGTCGTCACCACCGGAGTCTCCCGTTTCCGGTCTGCAAGCAGAGCAAACGAATCCTCATACCGGCTTTATCGGTCAAATGAGCGAAGGGAGGAGAGAGAGTCATTTTGGATCGCGGTATCGCCAATGATTTGCGCTATGAGATTCTATCTAGGAGAGTAGAAACATTTCATTCAACCGCATAGAAAATAATCTGCGTGTCTCGTCACTGTTCTATTTAAATTAATTAATTACAATTAACAAGATGCGAAAAAATTTTGAAGAAAAAAGGAGAATTTGCTGTTTTAATCGATTCTCGTGACAGTGTGAAATTTCGCGAAATTAAAAATGATACAGCGAACAAATAACAGAGGAATAAAATGGGCGTGGGTGGATTGTTCTCGTAATAAATCTTTCGAAATGATATCGATACTTGACCTTTCTTCATCGATTAAATTTTATCGAGTCACTTGCAATTATAGTTATTAACGAATTATTAAATTATAATGTAAATAATTAAATAATTATTCAAAAATTAAATAATTATTAAACAATAATTATTAAATAATTATTAAATTAGCTTATTAAATTAGGCAACGAGATGCGATTGTCCTTGCCTCTTCGACACTTCGCGGAGGCACATGATACGCGATAATTAAGCGAAAAGATTCCAAGTTCGCTGCGGGAACGAAGGAAAACGAAAGCGTCGCGCATCTTCGGGGAACGCGCGTATTTCGGGAGCACCGTGTACATCGCGTTACGCTTCCGGTATATATAGAGACGGCCGGTCCACATATAAATACAACTTCCGAGGCGTGGGAGCGCAATGAAATATTTCGACGGGGAAAAGATCCCGCGTCTCGCTTTCCGGCCGAGAAGCGCGCGGCGTACATATTGACGCGCTGCGCGGCTAAAATTGGCGACGGATTGATTTTCGGGCTCGCACGCTCGCGTCAAAACTCGAAACTGCAACAACTGCGGGCAAATTCGCGGCCGCTCTTCGAAAGCCCAAACGAGGCACTTTACGAATTCTTTCTCTCTCTCTCTCTTTCTTTCTCTCTCGACTTTCGGTTTCACGAGCTGCAGAATTTCAACAAGATTGCGGTAAAGTCAAGGACACCGCAAAAATGATCGCGACTTTAATTTCCCGTTCACAGAAATTTTATGACAAAAGTAACCGAAAATTGCAAAGTAGAAGACATTAAAAAATAAATACAGATAATAAATAAAAAAATTGATTGCGGTGAAGTCCCAAGGACACCGCAAAAATGATCGAGACTTTAATTTCCCGTTCATAAAAATTTTATAAGGATATGATAAAAGTAACCGAAAATTTTTAAGTAGAAGACATTAAAAAATAAATACAGATAATAGATAAAGAATTAATTTTAAAAAATTTAACAAAAAATTATAAAAATTAAAATTAAAATAATTGTTCACGTCGATATTTTTCAGTTGACTTTTTGACAATTATATGTAGTACATCAATGTGATTTATCAAACTTTTTCTCGCGCGCGAGCGAATTTGTATAATTTTAATTTATAAAATCAACTTTTCGATAGGACAATTTCGTTGAATATTTTAAAGTAAATCAAATAAAATAAGGGCAATAAGAGCCAGCGCAGTTGACAAGCAATATTTACAAATGCGATCTCTCATTACTTGATCAATTTATTTCATGTATTTTAATACTGTTCCCTATTTAATACTATAATCATTTTAATATTATCCTGCATAAAGAATCGAACCGTCCTGTCGACGAGCAGTCACCACCGACTACGAGCACGACGCATGCACATGCGTGCGCGCTAAAGTTAGAGCGCGTCGCGTCGAAACCGAGACGAGCCGAGCCGAGTCCTGCAGATGAATGAAAGCAGATAAACGTCCGAACAATCGCGTCATTTTGTTTTCGCGCGCGAATAAATAATTTCCGCGGGAGAGTGCAGCGAGCGAGCAAGCGAGCGAGTCTCGTCTCGGTCTGTTTTAAGATCCGTCTACTCTACAAACAGCTACTACATCCTAAAATATCATCGGCGTGGTTCGGACGCGCTCGAAAATCCGTGCTCTGACGTAACGCGGCGATTCGCTAGATGCGGCGGGACACGCAGAGAAAAAAACATAAATGTCAAGTCAAAACTTACGTACTTAAATTAACGCGTCCATTGTTTCGTATATACGCAACAATCTGTAATCTTCTTAGAAGAATTTAATAATTTTGAATTTCAACAATATTATAGTCTTATTTCAATGTTGTAATTGTCATCTCAAGAATATATAATTATTTAATTCTACTTTAAGAAAATTATAATCTTTGATTTAAAAATGTTATTTTCTATCTAACATTGTTTCCTTTCCATTCAAGAAAATTATATCTTAAATCATAAGACTATATTTTTCTTGATTGAATTATATAAAATGGCTTCATTCAAGCAAGCAATTATATTTTTTCTTTAATTAACGCAATATAATCTCATTTCAGTTTTCATGTTAAAATTATAAATATTTTTCAAAACAAGAATGTCCTTTTTCCCAACATTTCCAGCTCGATACTCTTTGTGTGTATAATTAATATAAATTACAAAATTTGTAAACATAGAAAAGAATTATCATTACATATATATAAAATTTTGATACATTATATGTATTCCAGAAAAATTAAGTGATCAAAATTAATTTTTAATGTTTAATTTATTATTTTGAGAGAAAAATTTATATATAATACATATTTATATATGTATAATAGAAAGATAGTTGTCTGTAATTAATATTTATAAAATGATTTTAATAACTCCGAATTTATTCATTTTGTATTTATACATGCTGAAAAACGTGTTATAATGAATTATCGCTGTAAAATCATCTACAATTATGTTAGTAATATGTTGAGCAATATTGTAGGAAAAAAAATAAGAGATACGAAGTGTGAATATATAATTGGAAAAAAAGAAGGCGCAGATAGAACTTCCAAAGAGGATAATGAAGATTAAAACCAGATCTGTGTTAATGATAATGTAAATTATTAAATATCGCGTGATATGAGTGCGTGTACGTAGGCCCCCAATCCCGCATCTCTCGTACGGCAAAAATGCGGAACGTGATATTACGTATTATGCAAATATCATAGCGGAAATAAACGAGTAAAGGAACAATCTACTGAATGAAAGTTCAATAATGAGCTACGTGCGGTGTATATGTGTCAATGGGGCCCCTTGCGCGCGAGCGCGATACCGATCATGTGTATGCATGTAATCCGACACATGCACAAAACGCTTCCATATCTCAACAGACACATTTCAATGTCAATATTATACGTGAAATATTATCCTCGTTGGTATACGAGAGATCGCGAGCGCGATATTATTCTCTCGTTGCGATTTAATTCGACATTCTAATTCGAAATCGCGATTAAAATATACATGCCGTCGATCCGCTAACGTCGGCTAACGATACTTAAGCGGCGTGCCAAAAAATACTTCCGGTAGCCGACAGCCAAACGGTACTTCACGGTCACCCCGTGTGAAACGTACGAGCGTGCGCGCGCGCGTGTGAAGCTCATTCAAGTGCGGTACGAGTTAAGCGAATTTATTGTGTGTGTTTGCGCGACCTCCCTTCGTCCATTTGTCGTTCGCTCCTTCCCTCCCCCTCCTCCCCCTCCCCCCTCGCTCCTCTCTCCTTCGTTTCGGCGCACAAAATGATCATTGCGAACGTGCACGCAACTACATTTTATACAGTCGCGCGCGACGGATGTGTTGATTGATAAAAACGACGCGTAGTACGTAACCACGGGAGCCTCGATTTCACATCGCGTTGCCAATGTTGAGCAATAATGCAACCGGCACATTTCTCGGTGTTAATATCCTTTACGCAATTTATGACGCCGATTTTCATGACGAAAACAACAATTTCGAGCGAACGCGTTATTCAGAATATTCGAATGAAATTATAACTGTGTAAATTGTTCTATTTATATTAATTAAAACTCATTACTCTTAAAAGATTAAAAGAAGCTCAAGTAAAATGTTCCATTAAAATAATTAAAATTTTCGCAATTATGACTAATTGTAAGATACGCTATGCGATTTTTAATTTAGAAATTTCCTTTTTCAATTTTAAAAAAATATCTCATTGTATTGTTGACAAGTGGCTATGCATGTATTATCGAGGGTTCGAGGTCCTATCTAAATATACATCAATTGCCTAGAAGAGCGATGATCAACGTCATCACACATGATGACGTCAAGTGGTCGTGGTGCGAGCATTTATAACGCATCAAATTTTAAAATTTTGACCACGCTTACCTAAAAGCTTCTCAAGATACTGACATCTGGTTTCGGGATCACCTGGGTTCATCGGCGCCCCTGCAACCAGCTCGGCCAGCTCCGCCTTCACCATCAGATTCAATCTGGCTGAGATCTCCTCAAGACCCGCTGCAACAAAAATTTCACCAATAGCTTATTTTTCTTCGGAAAATGTTTCATGTTCAAAGATTTCGCGGATTTTATCATCGAGATGTTTTGTCGTAAAAATTACTATAAATATTTTTAAATGTACCTCGTATATCTATAAATTTGAGACTTATATACAAAGATGTAAATTTATACATGTTAAATATTTTATTCTCGCTATCATTTTATTTTGTATTTTTATTGCTTATGTTTTCAAAATTTTAAAAGCGTGTAAAATGCAGAGCGATGAGCATTTGACATTTATTATTGCGCTTGAAAATTTTATGTTAAATTCTGACAATTTTTTAGATTTTAAAATTGACACGATTGTAAATTATATATTTTTGAAAATATATTTTCAAAAAAAGAGCCCGTAAAATTAAAAATAAATCGCGATATAATTACACAATAATCATTCAAAATTATCATTAATATCAAGCAAGAAAATCTGTTTTTTTTTTTTTTTTTTTTGAAAATATAATAGCTAATCAATTTAGGCTATAGATGTTTGCTTTGAATTTAATTTTTTTTTCTCTCTCTCTTCCTCGTATTTATATAAAATCTTTCAATATGATAGAGCACCCCCATAAAAATGCACTCTTGACACGTATCACATCGAGTATAATCGATGTGGAATGCGTCATGAATGTCTGTGGAATGCGGCTCGATTTTCTCCGGAGCCCCATAGTGTATACGATCGGTTCCCCTAATGGCTACCAGTTCGAGCGGTATCCCATAAGTCCTCGTTCCCTCCCGCCCCTCTCTAACCGACGTTCCTAATCAAAAGCACCGGGTGGGCCGTCAGCCACAATCAAACGGTACTGATTACATACGCGCATACCAAGCGCCCGTTTCACGATTACCAATCATGTTTATTTTATATAAAAACACGATAATATTTTCGTTTATCATCATGTATTAAGAGGAATAAATAGAATATCTATAAATAAATACATACACATAAATAATACGCAGGCAAGTAAAATAAGTATTGGCGAATAAATTAATTTTTGCTTTTTGTTTTGAAAATTTAATTGAGATGAAATATTTTATTCTTTTGTCTTAGTTGTCGGAATTAGAGAATATACTTTCTTCAGCCACATTGCGTGTATAATACACGCGTATACATATTTATATGTATGTCTAAAATAAATAAAATTCAGTAAAAAAATTATCTAAAGAATAATATCTTGTTTCTTATATGCAGTTTTGGAATATGATTCATTTGAAATTTGCTCACTTTTAATTGGAAAGAACTGAAGAGAATCATTTTCCGTTACAGGAAAATCATTATAACTTTGATAATGCGGGTTTCCGGCGATAATATAATACTTGCCAAGTTGCAACACAGCAGTTCAGGTATACTATGTGGAATGTAATAACAACTATAATCTGTTTTTTATATTAAAAAGCGGGATAAATCGCGCTCGCGGACGAACACGCGCTGCGTATAATTAGTATTAATTAACTATATACATAATTTGCAATGTGATAAATATTAATGCAATTAATAATTGCAATTGCAATAAAATGAAACAGATTTCGCGTGCAACACGCTCGAAATGGCCTTGATGTGCTATTTATATATAAGAAAATCTCCGCGGAACGATATCTCGAAAGTTCCTCCTGTATAAAATTTCTCCATGACTATCGTCTTTTTTTCGTGATCATTTCTTTTCATTTGAATTATTTGATTTCTTCATGTAAATGCAATAAAATGCGAATTTTGAATCTCGCTGGAAACGATATGTTCAAAATATATTTGTGTAAAGTTGTTGTCAATTGTTGGACGCATTTTATTTGACATGTAAACAGTCCCTTATGAATTGATATTCGTAGATACGGAATAGAAAGTAACATTCTTAGTCTTTATTTAATATATAATATTGAAAATTGAAAAGGATATAAAAATAGACAACAAATTCAAGAGATGAAATTTCCAAGAAAAAGGTTTTTAATAAAGTGTGCGTATGTATTCCGCAAGACTTATTTAAAATAATGTGTACCTTGTTTCGTGTTTTATTAATAAATATTTATCATCGTCGTTGGGGCGCGTATTTCGCTGAAAGCGTAGATTTAAAAGGCGATACGCACCAGACGAACGAGGGGTTTCATTCATACGGCGTTCATTAACGAAACGTGGCTGAATCGGTTCCCACAAACGTACACGCGATACGCGGCGCGATACGTCAACTGATAGAAGGAGAGACAGAGAGAGAAAGAAGCGAAACTGAGGGGGAGTGTTCTTGCGAGGAGGAGTTCTGCGTACTCTGTTCGTTATGCAAATGTAGATAGTAACGTCGCGTACACACGTGCAATAGAGCTTATAAGAGTGTTACGCGATTTCGATTCATTCCTTACGAGAGCTTTACAGCGCGATACGTGTACGGATTATATATAAAGTGAAAGAGATGCGCAGGTGTATAGGATTTTTTCTCCAGGTAATATTGAATTAATGACTTTTACAAATTTAATTAAAAATCAACGATTTAGTTGAAAAAAATTTTACGCGCGCAAAAAATGTAATATTCAATAAATTACTCTGTTGTGAGAATAATTTTATAAATTATAGTTCTAAAGAGTATCTTTAAAAATATATAAATTTCAGATTATACAACGCAATTCTTGAATTATTTCATTTTCATTTCTCAAAAAAACGAGAATTTTAACGAACAGAACTGTTTTTAAACTAAAAATTATATTAAATATATATCGCAAAAAAACTTATGAAACTTCAATTCTGTTATCGCTGCAACTTAAAACGAATCTTCATAAAATCGATACATTATTGTTGCATTAGTTGCGGTTCGTATTAGAAAATTGTTACTTTATTTCGGAGAGTAAGAAACGCGGAACGAGGTACGCACGACAGTACGCACGTTGCGTCGCACGTTGGACGTGGAGACGTCATATCCGGGCGCGGTAGGTCGAGCCAAGGTGAGGAGCGGCCGTGATCGGCCCTCTAATGAAGAAAATCCCGCCGTGCATTTTAAGGGATTTTGTCTCCCTCCCTCTCTCTCCCTCTCTCCCTCTCCCCCGCCCCCCTCTCTCTCTGTCTCTGTCTTTTTCTTCCTCGTTGACTTACTTGCGCGTACCTATGTTCTTGCCGCCAACATCTCAAACACACGGCATCCTTTGCCTCGCGAAATACGAATTTCTCTTTTCCTTCTCTCTTGAATATTGCGGACGCATAATGATTGAGGTATCGACGATGATTATTCCGCTTACGTAGCGCGATACTAATCGAGAATTATTACGAAATCGATTCATCAATAACCAGCCAGAAGGGAATGAATTTCGAAAGCTCGCAATCGTTAAAATTTTCCCACGGCGATCCTCGAGAATTCAACTTTTCGAAAGTGACTCATCTATTCGAAATTAACATATATTATTGTGCGTGTTTCCTTAATCGATTTTTTTCAACTTACCTGGCTCAAAATTTTTCTTCATTCTCCGCCATTGCCTCGCGTAAACAAGAGCCGAGCAACCCGCTACCAGGAAGAACACTATGCAAGCACACACCGCGAGGACCAAGGCGCCGGTCTGCCAATCCCACGGTAATTGATCGGCCTCGGTAGCCGATTTTCTCCTTTCCCGAGGATCGTGTGCCGTCTACGTCATAAAACCAATACGTTATATATTTATGCATTTAATTCTATCCATTTTCAATGTTATCTCTGTCTCTTTTTCCTTCTTTCACATGTATGCGCGCTAAAAGATACGACTAAGAATACTGTTAAAGATTAGTTTCGAAACACAATTATGAAATGCGAAAGGTTCTTTGGCGATGCAATTCTATGCCACATAGCAAACGGCGAAAGCCAGCTTTCACCGACACAATGCGCACTGATCGTTGTATACTCATTCACAGGAGACATCATTTTCTTTAGTGATTTTAATAATTTGTTAGATGATCAATTTTAAAAATTTCAGTCATTAAATTAATTAATCTTCTATTCTGATAAATATTAACTTATCCCTGCGGAACCAAATTAATTTATGGTAAAGTCAAGCTGCAAATTTATAACTTGAAATTATTCTGCAAGAGATTAATCATTTTTTCTAAAATTCTTTCTATGTGAATCCAATTTGAAGTTACCTTGGATTCCCGCGAGGCGGAATAGACCGGCTTCTCATCGCCGGAGCCTTCGTCGTCATCTCGATCTTGGTCGAGATTTCCGGTTTCCACCGTGGAAACCCGTTGTTTCGTCTCGAGGAGCCGCCAGAACTTGGCGATGAAGGCCTTCTCGCCGGCCTCCGACGACCATTTGGGCGTCCCGGATGCGTAGTCGAGCTCGAGCGAGCCGCATATCGCGTCCTTGTGCACCGCGCAAGGGCTCAGGGTGAAGTCGGGGGCGCATCGGGTGCATGGCCAGCAGGAGGCACGTTCGGTCGACCAGAACTCCAGACCGGGCTTGCAGACCGGATGTTGCTGCTGCGGCTGCGGCTGCGGCTGCTGGGTGCCGGATGTCGCGCCGCCGGCGGCGAAGGACTCGCACAGACCGACGAATATCGACACTAGGGTCAATAGTAACCCGGGACAAGATTCCCTCGGCATTACCTGCAATCATCATGAATCAAGTTAGACATGATTTTAATTTATCTCTTACCCCTCGGTCATTAGTATAAATAAATATCTCTTTCGATATGTTGTATTGTAAATATCCCTCTCTTCGCATACGAATAATTTACGAATGAATTTGATTGATTATTTCGGTGTGAATTAAATCGATTAATTTATTTTAAAATTAATAAATCAATAATCTAATTTTATTCAATCATATCTAGTCATCGTTATATGTATGATATGATAAATTTGCATAAGACAGTCATCATATGCCATTTGATGTGGAAAAAATTGATGATGAAAAGTAAAAAAACAAGAATAGAAAATAAGAATAAGAAATAAGAATAAGAATAAGAATTATTATTTCTTAAAAATTATTAATATTTTTTGAAAATTCGAATTTAAGACGATTTTATAAATAACAAAAAATTTATTGTATGTAATATATAAAATTAGATTTAAAAAGTGAAAAGAATCTTTATTAAAGTAAATCACGACATTTCGATTTTTAATAGTGATTAGATGTCATTGCGTATATCTACATATATTTCAATTTTTTTATTTATTACTTTAATCTTTCAAATTATATGTATATATTATGAAATTTCTTTTATTTTGAAATGCTTTATGCTAAAAATTGTCACAATGTCTCTCCCTCTCTCTCTCTCTCTTTCTCTTATAATCGCGAGATGACAACTCGGTATCTCGCGATATAAATATTGTAGAGTGACCAGGACGTCGATCGCGGTCGATCGGTGTAATTCGAGCGTATAAAGTCGCTCTTTAAGCCGCAAAAGCGCTCAGACTGTTTCCACTTCCGGCTCGTACGCAATGTAATTACATCCGCAGTTGAATCGCGATCCATCTACGTCATAGAGCTCGCGGCCGACCGTCTGTACGCCTTCGTTTCCGCGCACCAGCGAGCGAGCACATATTGCGTGATGTATAAATGCATAATGTGTATAGAAAACTCTTTTGCAGTCTACTTACAGAAATAATCACATCAAAAAAAATCTCTTTTCAACAGTAAGTTTGCGACTATAACGCATTTTTCTTCCTCAAAGTAAACCTGCTTCAATCCTCTCTTTATATTTATGTGCGTAAATTTTCCTACTTCTCAATTATTTTTAGTAATATCAATTATGTAAATATATATAATTCATGTCATAATGATTAGTTTCCCTTGTGATTCAATTTTCTCTCCTTCTTTCCTTATGTGATATAATTATTAACCAGTTTTATATAAAAATGAAACTGTTGTATGAATTTTATACAATCTGCGGTAAATATTGCGAATCGCATATATCCACGAATAGCGCGATGAAATCAATTTCTTAAATTACCACGCTAAGATTGTTACATTGTGCAGCGAATATTGGCAGAATTAAATCTCGAATGTGCGATGGATTTTAGCTGTGCGTACTACAACTCTATTTTTAGCGTATTTATTAAAAAATGTAGTTTGCGAGAGCAAATAAGTAATTGATGCGGAATAAAATAAATGAAAAAAAGAGAGAATTTTTTACTGAATTATTAATATGTTTTTGATTTGATATCTCAAAGATTCGGAGATTCAGAACTGATTTGTGTGTCACATCCTTACATACTTATATTATAATTTCGTTTTTGTATACAGAGATTTGGGTCATTTTTATATTAGAAATCGGACAGTAAATATTGATTGCTTATTTATTTTTGATCGTTTTTCAACTAACTTTGAACAAAGAGAGAGATTACTTTTAATAATATTACTTCGATATTAAATTTAATAATAAATATTCGATATGTGAAACAATTATTGAAATTTGACTTGAATTTCTTGCAAGGTCGGCTCCGTAACGTTATTTATTAGTGTATTGTTGTCACAAGGTCATCGCAAAGAATATAGGCGAAGAATATACCTTACTATTGGAACGTCTAACGCATATAAATTCGCGTATAAATTTAAATAATATGACTTAGGCTGCAAGCATTTCATTAATGAATTGCTTATATCAAGAAGCGCAATTTCATCCGAGTTAACACATTTATTTTAAAAACACAATAATCATATAGAAAATAATAAAGTCTAGAATTTATTATTATAATTATAATGATATTAAAATTATATTAAAATTTGAATTTCAGTAACAAAGTATTAAGAAAATTTGGAAGACACTTATTCAAAAGCTTGATTAAAGCCAGCCAAAATCTATTATATGCATATATTGATCTTGTAACACATTTTTTGAGATTAAAAATATATATAATAAATACATATATACGTTGCAAGAAAATGCATAAATTTTCTCGCTATCTAAGAATAATCTGGAGATGATGTTTTCTTCGCGATTTAAAAAGACGAGCATTGTTCGGATAAAGAGAGAGAGAGAGAAAGAAAAATATACGCAATATATCGTCTGTGCATATAATGCAAAAGAGGTTTCTGCGTGCATATGTGTGTGTATATATATGTATGTGTGTGTGTGTATGGAGTTTCTCCTCGCCCACTTCAAATTGTCTGCGCGCACGCGTGTCATATTTCCCTCGAGGACAATCACGATCAGAATGCAACACCTCGATCCGCTCGCGCTCGCTCGCTCGCTCGCTCGTTGCAAATGCAATCTTCCGCCGCCTCGTCGAGTTCATCTCTCCGTGATTAGGATGCCAATTGCACGCCTGAAAAACGATTACGGACACGAGCGTCGCTGTGTCGCTGTGAGGCACAACGCGATTCTGTCGATTCTCGCTCGTACGTGCGGCGGAAAATCCTTCAGAAACGGATCTACATCTGTATTTATGTACATACATACAATACGGATCATACAGACGTAAAGAAAATTTATTTTTATGGAAAAAAAATCCTTGCGAAAGGACCCGTGGAATGACTTCGTTCAATATATTTCTACTTTTTAGAAACAATATGATATTCAAATAGGAAATATATTTTGTATAAAATTGCTTAGATTGCAACGTTATATTTTTATAACGTTATATTTTTTATATTTGATGCATTTGTATCATATTATGTTTTATTAAATATATTGTAATGTTATATTATATATTATATATATAAATTTATATTATAAATTTATATATATATAATTTATATTATATATATAACTTTATATATATATATATATATATATATATATATATATAATATATATATATATAACTTTATATTATAAAATTATATTATATAAATATAAATTAAATGTATATTTCTATATTTGTGATATATACAGGTGTGCACACAGAATAATCATCGTAGGAAGAATAAACGCCAAATTAGAAACGAGCCTTATACGATGTTAGTTTTTTACATCTTACTACTCATTTATATAATTAATCGTTTATTAAACTCTCGCGACTGTCTCATCGTTGTCGACAAATGGCTCTCTTAACACGCGGCCACACATGTGTGCCTCTCTAATAATAGTAACTAAAAAACTGCTCTGACTCCGGGGAATAAGGGCCTAAACCGGTTTACGTTCTTCTCAACATTACATCTCATAGATTCAAACGCGATATTCTGTTCAGGAAAGGAAATTCCATCAAGTTTAATTCTCTGAAATAAATTTCTTTCCATTGTCTTTTCTAGATTTATCCAAAATGTCAAAGTAATTGTATCATTGCAAGATTTTTCTCACGTCAATCCTCCTATAGTGATGATGTTTATAAAAAGCGACGTTTAAAAGAAGTTAAAAAGTACCACAGAGACTAAAAAAATTAATAGCATCGATCATTATATAAAATAAAAAATGTCAATTATAATATATTGATCAAACTGGATTCATTATTAATATTATTTATGTCGATCAGTTTGAAAATGAATTGTCATGACGTCGCATTTACTTCAATATTATCGCAATTAACCCGATGGGAGGAATCTCATTTTTTCAGAGACATTTCCCTCGATTTTTGAATTAATTCATAATCGCGAAATAAACGAAACTTCAACGCCATGCAACGGACTTATTCGCAGGAAGTGCGAAATCCGCAAACAGTGTTTTACGAGTAACGTCTGCCGAAGCGAAAGAATGCTGATGCTTGATACGGCCGCATGTGTTCGCTTAATGACGCTAATAAGACGGTTCTTTTCCTCCCCGGAATGCGTGCAAAGTTTTTAAGCGACTCGAATTAGCGACGTCGCGAACGAGACAAACAATAACTATACGCGTAAAAAAGAGATCACATATTATTCGCTCAACTGAGGAGACTAACAAAGACTGATGAACATCTTGCGAATCACGAATGCCGATGAATAACATGTACGTTAATCGGGATTCTTTTCGCAAGATAATGTCGTCGCGTGCCTGGAATACCCAAATTCTCATCGCATACTATTAGAAATATTTTTGCCATTTTTCCCACGCCTTCGTAAATCGATTTCGCTCCCACTCGAGCGGAAGGATTTCACATTCATTCGTTTACGATCAATCCTACGTCGGATTCTTGGAGCGCTTGATCATCCCCGAGGAATTCGCGCTGATGGAAAGAGGATAAAACTATGATATTTTATAATACTGCAACAATAATAATGCACATTCAATGCAAACATTTGCGTAATAATTTATGCAATTGCGCTTTGCTCTTTGCGGAAATAAATGCGGCCTTTTCTTAATTCTTTTTGTTTGCAATACAAACTTTATCGTAACTTACTCGTATCAAAATAATCGTTACGTTCTATCTATAAAAATATTTTCGACAAGAAAATTGTCGTGCAAAAAAATTACGTGCTAAATTTAGAAACATTCCATATATGTATGAATGAAAACTGCGATGGAAAGTTCAAGAGATGAAGAGAAGTTCTTTTTTTCCTCTATCTACGATTAAAATAGTTTCAGATTAGAAGTAAATTAGATTAGAAATAAATCGGTCGCTAACTTGCACGGGGAATAAATCGTCAATAAATATCCTCACGGAAAAATCAAATAATAACGCAACGAAAAAAAATCAATCGACAAATATGAAAGAACAAATAAAGTGTCATGAATCTTTCTCAAGAAAAGCGATAAGTTCTCGTCTCTCCTATTGATTACGAGAGAAATATCGTTAACACGCCATCGATCGAGTATCACTATCGAATTCCACGTTATTTGTATACTTGACGCGGATCGAAAATTAACAATTCTCTCCCGATCGAAACGAAACGTTCGCGTACGGGTTTATCTACGATCTTCTTCGATGGCGACGAGAGGAGGCACGATTCGAAGGCGCTTTCGGAGAACTTATTGACGTGACACGAGGACGTGGCTCGCACAACGCGGGAAACCTAAATACTTCGCGGACACACGTCCCTGTCGATGGCGACAAAAGGCCGTTACACGACCGTGCCGACTTAAGAATAAATGTATAATAAATTATGAAGAAGTGGATTTTGTTTCAATTGTACGATCGAATGCAAGAAAACAGAAAAGACTTGCACTTACAATTAATTACAATTTTAAATCAATTTTAGCGAAATGGAGCATTTATTATACATTTAAATTGTCCTATAATTATATATATACATGAAAAAAAATTAATAATAATCGAATTGGATGTATATTTCAAGTTAAAATAAAAAATAAAAAAATTTTTGGATTTAATATTAATAAAAATGCAGAAGAATTAATATATAATTTATACATAATAAATAAATTTTTTATGTGTAATAATATTTAATTTTTATTATAACACCTATCATTAATATAAATATCTATCTTTAGATTAGATTGGATGGAAATTGCATTTTGGATCATTTATAGCGATATCAATCTAAACTTGATGAAATTTCTGAAACTGTCAGAATTAAATTGCTGGTTCCAAGTAGCTTTAAATGTAAAAAAAATTGTTATTAGTGTTCAACGGTAGAAGTTTAAAATAGACGGAATACAAATGTACGATGATAGAGAGGGGATGGGAGCGAAGAAGGAAGACGGCAGTCGACTATCCTTTGCTTTTTCATGAGAAGGCGCCGGGGGTACGCAGTTTATTTCCAGGCGAGATCTTCAATAAACATCGAAAAAAATAGCTCCACTTTAGCGCGAGGATCCCGGCCACGTGTTTTATATACCGGCGCCGATCGAAAACGCGAGGCGGATATACGCGCGCGATGATGATAATAGCGAGCGCGAGTGGCCTCTCCCGACGCGACGGGGTGGATTTCGGGAAATCAATCGTTCGTCTTGTGATTTTTCGCAACAAACATGCCACCAGCAGACAGCGATTTCTTGTTTATTACGTCGAATGCAAATTCGAATCGCGAATTTTAGCACGCGATGTCTCATTCAGTGTCGTCGCACCTGTTTTACTGGCCATGCGTTGATGTCTCGCGCGTAAACTTGGTAAACGAATCGACACACATTATTTATCACATCCGTGCTCTGAACAATATCATGTCGAAAAATAATCTGTTCTGAATTATTCTATAAATTTTTTCCCAACATATCAATTTCAAGTTTAATATTATATTGCGACATATTTAAATAAGCTTAGAGGAAATAATTATACAGAAAGAATATCAATAGACATAAAAAGTGGAAATAAAAAGAAAAATAAATGTATGATTATTCTTTAAACTTTTCCCGACATCGATTTAAAATTTAGATAATATTATATTGTGACACATTTAAATACCCTCAGAGGAAATAATTATACAGAAATAAACGATATTTGCCAAACAAGTTAGCTAAATACATCATATAATGATAATCATTTTGTACCAAATAATCAAAATATCAGACATTGGAATCATTTAAAAAAAAAGAAAATATGAAAAAAAATAAGGACTTTACTATAATATTTTGAGAATTTGAGATTCTTCAATTTATATATTTATGTGTTATTATCACTCCTATCTTTTTTTCATACATTATAATAAAGATATCTTATCTCTGTAACATGGAATTAAAAGGTAAAGCACTTTAAATACATTGAATATACAGCTTCTCTCACGCGCGGTCCTAGTGCTATCGTCGACGCCGAAGGTACCCACGACTTGTCGCACCGTTCAAATTAGATCAACATTATGAACCGCACGTTAGCACGGCACGGTACTCACGCTGCCTTCGATGGAGCCGTGTCTGTCATGATGTAATCCGAGGCGACGTAGCCGAGAACGAGGAGGAGAGAAAGGGCGCGTCGTTGCAGCCCCGAGTGACAATTTTCCGCGGATCGCCACTATGTCGCACGGAGCATCAGGGATGATCTCTCTGTCTCCTTTGGCACTGAACGATAATCGATCAAGTATCGATAAGAAATAAAAAAGGAAGGAATATAGAAAGAGGATAAAAACCGTGTCAACGTCGCGACGCTGTCATGCTGTCATACGCGACAACGAATGACGACGACGACGAAAGAAGGGACACTGAATGTCAGACATCCGGAGAGGTTCTTCGCGACACGCAAGAAACGTCCGTACCATCGCGCGGTCGCGACGCGACTAGTTCATCGAGTTATACTGATTTCCGCCCACGACCTAGTCGCAGCGAGTCAGACGGACGGACGGATGGATGGACAGGAATGAGAGAGCAGTTCGTTCATACGCAAAGAGAGAGAGAGATATATATATAGAGAAAGACAAAGAGATTGAGAGAAGGAGAGAAGAAGAAAATGATAGGAGGTAGAGAGAAGAATATCGAGACGCACAGGAACGTTTTATTGCCTAAGCCCGCAATCTATTAGCGCCCCCGTGATTTATTATTATGTGACCGAGAGAACTCTAGCTGAGAGAGAGAAGCAATTTATAAAAATTGCATGTATAATCCTTTTATAAATTTCCGACCGAGATTTGTTAAAATAAATACGCCAATTTTTCAAAAATGTTTTGTTAAACATAACAAACATTATATTTTTGAATAAATATTTTTAATATTATAATAAATCAATTTTTAAGAGACAGATATAAGAAATAGACTAAAAAGTCTTAAACTAGAAAGAAACTCCAATAGGCAAGTGTATAAGTATTATTAAAGATAAAATTGCATAATATATCATGAAAGTATCAAGAATAATTAAAGCTGCAAGAATATTTAAAATTAAACATAATAATATAAAGAGATATCAACGAATAAACAGAAGAAAAAAGAGAAGGTAATGGAAATTCAAAGAGATTAAAGACGTTTGACGAGTTCTGCACACACTCTTATGTCTCTTATAGAAACTTAGACTTCTTTTCTTACCTGGGATGTGATTAACCCCGCGGAGATAACAACCTGAACTGCTCCAGGCGCGTCTTCTGCAGTCCGGTTCCTCTGCATTCCATAGTGGTATTAACCCTAGAGCCAGACTGGATCGGAGAAACTGCGCCTGGTCGACTGTTCGATTATCTGTAATATAGACAGGAGTTTGTATTACAAAGAAGGGAGTTTGATGATAAAAATTTAATAAATCTCTCGTGAACATTTTTCACATAAAAAAAAAATATAACTGGAAAAATTTATATTGGTTTCAATAGATATATATATTTATAAAAATATTGTTTTATATATGACATTTGTGTTAATAGTATATGCATATATAGATTATTATGCATATCAAGAAAAACTATATTGATTTTATTTTAATCCAATTCTGCACAAGTTTATCTTTACATAAAAATATGATGACATTATGTTAATTAACACGAGAAGAAAAATAGAAAAAGAATACAAAATATACCGTATTTTTTTATAATTAAAAAATTTTAAATAATCTTATACTTTAAATTATCTTAATTGAATCTTCTTTAGCAAAGATTTGCGATTAATCCAAATAATGTTATGTTATTTTCCAAATTAATCCGAATAATATGTTATGTTGTTTATCCTAATTTTTTATTTAATAGAATCATTGATGGTTTTCGATAATTTGTAAATCGATCGATCGACATTCTCTCTTTCTCTAAATAAAATATCATTTTTCGCTCATTCATCAGAGTTACATCTCGCGTTGCCGTTTCTCTTACTAAAATATTAATTGCACATTCGAGGTAAAAAATCAGGAAGCCGTCATTTCTAGATATTATTAGCGCGATATATGCGACTTAATTATATTAAGCGGTATATTAATCATCTAGAATATCCGCGTATCTCGCGATCTCATTACGACTTTGTTGCATTCTTCGGTTAATTATCGCACGTGGGTAAGCACGTGGCACGCTTAATCTGCCCGGCGAATCTGCCAAGTTGTTGAAGGCACAAATTGCATGCACGCCACCAAATTGTATAAATAATTGGCCAGCGCGATGTACCGCGATCTACCATTTCGGGGAAAAAAGGAAAGAAGGGCTCCGCGGACTCGTTACCGATGCCGGATCTCGGTGCGATCACGCGATACCGGAGTCTTATAGGTGTAAATTTATTCTTATAACCATATACTTTGAAGAGTAGACGTAATATATCGTTTCATTCATGACCAGTATTCACGAGTCGCCGTTCGCCGAGCGTTACAAATCAGGAAACGGAATTAGGGAAACGGAAGGAAATGGGAGGAGGAACGAGAGATTAGTTAACGGTGACGAAGCGTAGATACATATACACTTACTCGTCCACGGAAGACTGTCTAAGAGGCGGCAACGGGTCGATCGCAGGAGAATTCGATGCAAAAATTGAGTAAACCTATAACTAAAAAAAAACAAATTAGTGATAATCAACCTAAAATTATTTTTCTTATTCTAATCTAAATTTAATTTATTTAATATGCTTTCTTTTTTAATCCACATTACTAACTTTCAAAAATAAATATTTCATTAATTGAAAAAAATTTATTTAATTTTTGTAGCTATAATTACGACACACACATATAACCATTAATTAATGATATTTTATTTTATTAGAATATTTAAAAAAAATATATACATATATAGTTCAAATTTTAATATTAAATTATCCTATTAATTAATTTAATTTAATTTAATATGGTTATTAGAATTCCTAGTATTTTATACGTTTAATAATATCTAATCATGTATATAAAAATAGCACGTATAGTTATATATGTATCTTTAGTTAATTTAATTTTATTTTATTCTAACAATAAGTTAAATGCAGTTTGAAGAAAATAAATTGATACTTACTAAATCCGCTCTTGTGAGTCTCTTGTCGGTATATTTCCCGCGAGCTCGCACTAGGATATATCACCCCGCTTCCTGTCCTTTCTCGCGACGGGATATCCCAAAGTACCATCATGTGTGACGTATCCAATGCGTGATCTTGACATGCGTTCGCTGCATTCCGTTTGGTAGACAGCATCTGGAGCTAGTCTGTCGTCGATATCAGAGAAAGAGAGAGAAAAAGATTACGTGCATTTCCTCCATTTTTCTTCCTCTTCTTTCTTTTTCCTTTCGTACGCTCTCTTCCGCATATTCTTCTTCTTATATTATACCAAATAACGCGAGGCTGCATCATATCGTATAAACTGAAATGTAGAATATACAATAAACAATCTACTTTCTAAATGCTACTAAATGCTACTTTCAAATAATAAATTTAAATTATTTGAAATATATCGCGCAACAACAACAATTGCCTTACTATTGCCTCAATATTTCTGTTAATTTAATTTAAATTATAATAAATAAAAGTTTCCCATATTTATACAATTTGAATAATTTTAGTTATAATTAAATTTTGTCAAAAAAGAAATTATTTACATTTTAGATCGATGTTGAAATTGTCTGATTTAATTGAAAAAAAGTGAAAAAGAAAAGAATTTAGACCGAAACAAACAGAAAAATATTCTTCATTATTCAAATCGAAAAAGAAACTATCGAGCGATTAAAATGATCGCGACAGCAAAAAAATCGTTCTGAAAATAGCACACATACACACACACACACACACACACACACATACATGGCAAAAAACACAATTAGAATGTAATTTTCACCTCCAATAACGATTTCTCAAGCAAGTTTCGTTTCTTCATTAAATAGTATAAATACGTACATGATTAGTGATCGTCAAAGTGAATTTACACTTTAACATTTGGAAGAAACAAATGAGTGGAGCGATATACGTATTGACTGCAGACGCCATCTTTCTGATTTAAAAGATCTCGATTGATGGTAATCGATGAATTTTTACTTGATTATTATTCATTACTATCTTATCGATTGTCAGTACATGTTTGTCATAAAATATAAATATACGGGATTTATTCTGTTTCGCTTACGAAAGTGTAAAGAACTGTAAGTGAAGGAGTGCGTACATATTTTCTACTGTCTTGTCACACGTGTCCGTCACGATTGACGTAACTTACGGTCGCCATGACAACCGCTAAACAATGTTTAAGGCGCCCCTAAAATCGACCTAAATCAACGTTGTGATTCTCAACAAGCGTCTCACATTTAATTAATATCGCATGTGAACACATGTGAATGTGAAGTGACTGCCTATAGAATCCCGAGCCAATGCCGACGTAACACGAGACAGATCAGCTGATCCTTTACCGCGACGATTATCGTTGGGTAATTACCCACTCAGCCTTTCGAGAAAGTGGTTTTCACCTTGTTCTCCGCCCACGCGAGTATTGTCAGAATCAATCATTAGAAATGCGTTGAAACTGGCCGAACGAAAACGGTGGAAGACGCGAATCCGATCGAAAATCGTTTATGGAAATGTCATATCAAGAAAAAGAGAGAGAAATGAGCACACAGAACGATGTGAAATCAGGTAAGACCACGCGATTTTTATTTTTTGGAAGAAATGAGTCAGGAAAAATAGTTTGCTTAAATGATTATAACCTGTATATTTCGGAAATGACATTTTCGAAAACACGCAAGTAACATGTAAAAGATTCATGTTCAATATTTATCATATATATGTATAAAATTATGTATATCTTTTTCTTTATCATAGATTTCAAAAACTTTTCAATGTATGATCTTATATATTTTAATTTTTTTCTCTATCTTTTTTAAAATCTGAGTCAGTTTTTTTTTACTTATACTTAATTGCAAAAATTATATTAAGATAAATAAAATATTTTTTTCTTATATATTTATAGTATTATCCAGTGCAACCAATGATGAAGCTTCAACGAGAAGTGCAATATTAACCGTTGGACTCATCTTCATAGTTTCATTGACTGCATTGTCTTATGTATACATGAGCTTTCCAGAATTAGAAGAGTAAGAACAGCCACTTGTCAAATATATTTGTTGTTTATATCAAATGTATAATATATATATATATATTTTTTTTTTCTTACGTATTTTATAGAAATGAAAAACAATACATGAAACTGCCATTTCATATAGAAGATGCCAAGAATCTAGGAAAGTTATTAGAACGATATAAGGACCTATATTATTTCCAAGTACTGGCTGGACTGTTCATCACTTACATCTTGTATCCTTAAATATTCAATTGAGTTTATTTTACTAGTTCCATATAGTTGCGCATGTTCCTTACATCATACTTTAATGGCAGCTTACAAACATTTGCCATTCCCGGCTCTATCTTTCTCTCAATCCTATCAGGATTTCTGTTTCGCTTCTCAATTGCATTGCTACTCGTGTGCACGTGCAGCGCGATTGGTGCCACCCTATGCTATCTGCTGTCTTCTTTACTGGGCAGACGATTAGTGTACCGATATTTTCCGGATAAAGCGAAAGCGTGGACCATCGTTGTGAACAAACATCGCCATAATCTGCTGAATTACATGCTGTTTCTAAGAATGACGCCATTGCTGCCGAATTGGTTCATCAATTTGGCCAGTCCGGTGATTGGCGTGCCAATGATACCGTTCACCATTGGTACCTTCTTCGGCGTCGCGCCGCCCTCATTCGTCGCTATACAAGCAGGTCAAACTTTACACAAACTCACATCATCGAGCGACGCATGGTCGTGGTATAGTATAATTATTCTGTGTGTGTTCGCGCTGCTCTCTCTAGTACCTGTGCTATATAAGAAGAAGCTCAAGGAGAAGTTTGAGTAAGAGCTACATCGATGATGCTCTTATAAGGAGACATTCCGACATTATACAAAAAGACAGAAGCATTTTGATTGCGTTTGTCAAGATGGATCAAACCATCTCCATTATTAGAGATTCTTAAAGAATCTAAAAAAATTATAAGAGATGCGAGTAATGTTGAGACAATGATCAATTAGAATGTCTTCTCATATCATGTAATGCAAATAGCATTTGACACATTGCAAATAAAGTCATTAGCATACATTTGGATACATGATACTTGAATGTAAAATAATGTGACAAAATCCATGAATACAATTTGCACATAATTTATTTATTATATAATTTATTTCTAAATACGCGTGTGTCTTAGATTATATTATGAATATCATATAAAAACGTATCTAAACTATATGCAGATAGAGATAGAAAGCTCATTTTATTATATTTTGGTACACGAATATGCCTATACGTCGAAAAGTAATCTCAGGTAACTTTGTATTAGTAGACTGTTGAATTTTACTTTTATTTCATTTATTATTGTAATGGAAGAGTAATACTATTCTTAACACTTAAATGTGCAAAAAACCATATATATCAAACGAAATCACGAATGTATATCTATATATAATATTTGGGAAACGAAAAACATGCAAACATATATAAGCTTAAATGCGACTTTATGCTATTTTTGGCTGTATCACTTTGGCACATTGACAACTAGTTTCTTCTATTGATGGCACTAGCAAAACGAAGTTAGATAACCAATAGAAAGATCAGTAGCATTGTACACTGGCAGACTCATGGGTCTCCAATACCACCAATTGTACCATACTTATGAGAAACATAAAAGAAAAAAATGCACAAAAATAATGATAAAATGAAAAGGATTAACTACAAACACCTTTCTGATACTTACATGTATGTCCAGCAGATAATAAAATGGTCAAGGATCTACAATGTTGAAGACATTCTGAGCTCGGTATCATTTTTATCAACCTTGCACCAGCCACACATCGTATCACAATATTGCTGCATTCAGGATTAGGCTAAAAATTTATAAATTGACTGTTATATCCAGGAGATTTATAATAAGAAAGCTTCATACATATTGCATACCAGTATGTAAGACGGTGATTCTGATTCATCAATAAAAATATATTTCTCCGTGCCTTGACTCCACCAACTTGGAGTCCCAATTGGCTTTGGAAATAATTTTCGTAGTATTCTGTTAGGCTTCATACGATTCACTTTCCAAGATATATGAGTAGTAAGTGAATCAGTTGGATAGATATCCAATCTGTTTCTCATGGCATCATGGATAGTTCTATATAAACATATAAGGCAAGATATATTGCATAACATGAAACTCGTTTTAACACTAACTAGTAAAGAAACTTACTTAAAAGTTTCATTGTTGGAAGAGATTCTTCTAGCATCCTGATCAAAAATATCTTGATTATTCCAATATGTATCAACCAAATCTTTCATTTTAACTTTTGTATTGTTCTCTGCTCTAGTATATGGTATACCAATATTGAATGATTTGTTGATGTTATGACCAGTTAAATCTGGCACGGAATAGACCATGGTACAAGGCCAGCAGTCCATGTCGCTGACATAAAAATATGGATTTTCTATCAGACACCATTCATCGTACAATTCTAAAATAATAAACACCATGTATCAGAAATAAAATAGTCTAAAATTTCATATTTTTATATTTTTATATCCTATTAAAATATAATTATTTGATCACATACCAGACAATGATGGATATAAACTGACAATGGGGATAGCTAACTTGCGTAGCGCATACAAAACAGGATATATGGAATTCTGTGAGATTCTTACAAATGCATCGTTTAACCATCTTTGATTATACAAATGTAACGATATAATAGAAATAAAAAGGAATAAGAAAGCGCATCGCAAAGGCCTCGATAGTCTATTCGACTTCTTCGAATACTTTGCCTCCAACTGTCGGAAACATGCTTGAAATATTTCCGACGTTTGCGCTTCCGAGACATTATGCTCGGCCGCGTATTGTCTAATTTGTCGAACACTTTCCCTGTATTCATTTAAATCAACCATTTTTAATCGCGAATTTTTTGCCACGTCAATCGTGTGAAACTCAAATCTCGCATTATTTATATTCTACAGTGCCTAAAATTCATATTACACACGAAAGGCATAACATCTCATAAATAAACAGCTTTTGACAATCCATACATAATAATCAGCTGAGCGTCTTAGCTAACCTAATCTAACCAAACCTAACGTAATCTAACCTAATGATACATTACACCAATCAAGTTCACGAATTTTACAACGGTTGTAAAGCGGCCTTTTCATTGACACTACTTTTTAGCGTCAATGAAATTGCACCTTAACAGTTGGCAGCCCTACGAGATAGGCTGTGCAGCACTGCGCATATATAAAATAAATTTGAAATCGCTTCTAGCTTAACCATCTTCACGCGATCAACTTTATTTGAATTGCACGGCATCGCATCAAATTATGATGCGGCGTCGATTTGTTCGAACGTAATTCGGGACATCGCGATGCTGTATAAGCGTCGAATGAGCACGAATTGTCACGCAAATATGATAAATCACATCTACTCACCGTTCACCGGCTGTTCCACAGGCCGCTCCACTCGCTCGCCTCGGGACGTCCCATTCCGATCTTGATGCACACGATATCATCAACGCGAACGCGCGACACTTTATTCGGCACTCCCGATATTCGCTCGCATCCAATAATCATCATCAAGGGCGCAAATAACGCGACGCGACTTCGCTCCATCTTCGCGATCGCGCTATCACTGAACTGTGAAAAATAGCTGTCGCGCACTTTCACCGACATATTATGAAAGTCGCGCGATCATTCTTGAACACTTTCGACGCTCTTTCACTCGCGATATTCGTTTAAAAACGGTTAAAAGACGCGAAAAATGCGGACGTACGACGATCCGTGTAACTGCGTATGACTCCGATTCACGTATGACGCGTATGACGTAGCAGTGACGCGTATGACGTAGCGATCACGCGCTAACATGGCGGCCGAACCAGTGCGCAGAAACGAATGCGCACTGGTTCGGCCGCCATGTTAGCGCGTGATCGCTACGTCATACGCGTCACTGCTACGTCATACGCGTCATACGTGAATCGGAGTCATACGCAGTTACACGGATCGTCGTACGTCCGCATTTTTCGCGTCTTTTAACCGTTTTTAAACGAATATCGCGAGTGAAAGAGCGTCGAAAGTGTCCAAGGATGATCGCGCGACTTTCATAATATGTCGGTAAAAGTGCGCGACAGCTATTTTTCACAGTTCAATGATAGCGCGATCGCGAAGATGGAGCGAAGTCGCGTCGCGTTATTTGCGCCCTTGATGATGATTATCGGATGCGAGCGAATATCGGGAGTGCCGAATAAAGTGTCGCGTGTTCGCGTTGATGATATCGTGTGCATCAAGATCGGAATGGGACGTCCTGAGGCGAGCGAGTGGAGCGACCTGTGGAACAGCCGGTGAACGGTGAGTAGATGTGATTTATCATATTTGCGTGACAATTCGTGCTCATTCGACGCTTATACAGCATCGCGATGTCCCGAATTACGTTCGAACAAATCGACGCCGCATCATAATTCGATGCGATGCCGTGCAATTCAAATAAAGTCGATCGCGTGAAGATGGTTAGGCTAGAAGCGATTTCAAATTTATTTTATATACGCGCAGTGCTGCACAGCCTATCTCGTAGGGCTGCCAACTGTTAAGGTGCAATTTCATTAACGCTAAAAAGTAGCGTCAATGAAAAGGCCGCTTTAGCCCGGGTCCACAATAGGTAATTTAAGCCCTAAGCCTTAAGAAATTGACCAATCACAGTCAAGTATGAAGAGAATATCTGACTGTGATTGGTCAATTTCTTAAGGCTTAGGGCTTAAATTACCTATTGTAGACCCGGGCTTACACACTGAAAAAGTTGAAACTGTTTGAACTTTATTTTATTGACGCCATATCTAGAGAAAGTCTAGTGATTTTAATTTGCCGCTGGTTTCTAGCGTCAATGAAATTGCACCTTAAAGCAGCTTTTTCTGCTGAACGCAGCCATTGGTCGCATTCAGCGGACTCAACAGTTGGGCAACATTACTAAATTTTCCGACGTAATTCGACGCTGATTGGTAGGACTTAAAAGTAGAAACCAACCATATTCGATTGCTACTTAGCGATTATATCGCCGAATGCGGCCATTGTTTCTGCTTGTGAGTTATCGTCTACTATGTTGCTAGAGTCTTCCATCTGATATCATTGCATTCGATGTGCATGCGTTAATAGGAAGTGTTTGTCTAGTAATATTAGTTTTTGGTCAGAGATGTTTGTAATTTGTAATTTTTATCCACGTGATTGAGAAGCATTTTTTTTTCATCTAAGAAATATTAAACAATGGAAGCGAAATCGGAAAATCCGCGATGGGTTATGCGGGAACATGAAGTTGTAAGTTTGATTAAAAGCATTTTTGTATCAAATACATGAATTCAATATTTATTGAATTAATTTTAATATTTTTTTATTTCAATAGTTCAAGGAATATGCGCGTGAAACATCGAGCAAAGCAACGGCGCTAAAAAATTATATACAGGTAAAATGCTTATAAATAAAACAATGCGTCATGTAGATACTTGTAAATCAAAATACATTTCTTATATCTTAGGAATTGAGGATTGAAATAGTACGAGAGGAAGACAAAGAGTTAGAATTTGATATAATTGGTTGTGACATATCACTGGTCAATGCATTTCGGAGAATACTTATAAGCGAAGTACCAAGTATGGCTATCGATAAGGTTTTTATAATAAACAATACTAGTCTACTACAGGATGAAGTACTTGCACATAGGTGAGCATCTGAATATTCTAATGAATCATAATTGTAATTTTAATGAAAATAATTTATATATAACAAATATATTTTGTTTTCAAGATTGGGCCTTATACCTCTTCGAGCAGATCCTCGATTATTCGAATATCCTCCGAGCGGAAGAAAAGATGAAGAAGTCAGCGAGCAAGATACTCTAAAATATGAACTAAAAGTTACATGTACCACACATCCGCAAGCACCAAAATATTCTCGTCTCCCAGAGGATATGTATAGAAACAGCAAGGGTATTTAACTTTTATACATTATGTATAATATGTATGTCTTTATACATTCATATTATGCAATAATAAATTATACAATAGTAATAATATAATAATGCTAAAGAATCTATATGAATCAATATACCTTTTAGTTTACAGTAAAGATATTAAATGGGTACCGATAGGCCGACAAGGGGACATGTTTCCACATGGGACAGAACAGTTTAGTGTGCTAGAAAATGATATATTAATATGTAAAATGCGTCCTGGTCATGAAATCCATGCATTTATGCATGCGGTTAAAGGCATCGGCAAAGATCACGCCAAGTTTTCTCCTGTGGGTATGTAATAGTTTCGTAAATTTTTTATGTAATGTCTTACACATTTTTCTCATAGATGTGTTCTAATGCAAATACAATACATGTTGTGTGTAAATACAAATTAAATTTTTAAATTATCTTAGTTTTTTGCAACACTTATGTAAAAATAAAAATGTGTTTAGCACCTGCACGATATCGTCTTATGCCGGCTATTGAATTAACTAAACCTGTGAGAAACGAGGATGCGGATCTTTTGCAAAGCTGTTTTAGTCCTGCTGTAATAGAAGTCGTAGAAAAAGAAACGAGTTCGGGAGAAAAATATCGTGAGGCACGCGTGAAGAATGCTCGTTATGACAGCTGTGCCAGAAACGTCTATCGTTACGAACAGTTGAAGGACTGTGTAAAAATGACTCGAATATCGGATCACGTTATCTGTAAGTATGAATAGTTTAAAAAGTCTTCGAAAGAGAAGACTTTTTAAGACCAATATAGGATTTAAGCTGTAATGAAATGTGTATATTATATGTCGCAAAACTAAATCATAAAATAATTATAAAAATATAGTTATGTAAAAGTTATATAAAAAATTATATACAAATTACATAAAAAAATTAAAATTATTTTTCTTGTCTACTGCTGACAGTATGATTTGGAAATTTTATATGTAATCAATTTTTTTTATTTTTAGTTAATATAGAATCTGTGGGAACTCTACCCCCAGCTGTTTTGTTCACGGAAGCTGTTAAAGTGCTCAAGAACAAGTGCAGGATATTCCTCGCAGAGCTAGAACACGCGGGAGTATAATTTTTTTTCTTTATAAATTGTTTACAGAATTTTTAAAAAAATAAAAAAAGAAAATAAATATATAATTTTAAAAAATGAAGATATCACACACATATCCTCATAAAGAACGTATGAATTTTTAATATACTCCATATAGATCGATCTATAACAACTATCTTTATCAACACGATTATTGAAAGAGGGACAAGAAATCCGTATGTATGTCCAGTTATATCTCAACCAATTAAATCCAGCATCAATCCATTGAAACATATGGCTTTAGCTGTCCACCTTATTGGTCAAGTACGGGCTTTTACGCAAAGTGAGATATAGATCTGTTCTGTATTCTGTGTAAAGCGAGATCAGAGTGTATAAAATATCAGAAAAGGAGAAAAATATCGAAAGAAATCGTAGTTTGAGGGAACAGATTTTCCGCGCGTGAATGAAAAGGGGATGAAAAAACAGAGACAAAATTAGATTAGATCCCGTAATCCCGTTAGAAACGCCAGACGCCGAGGAATCTCGCAACTCCCATCGATCCAGCCATTCGCGTGCACGCCGCGCGCAATGTCGCCGCCGGCGGCGAATTTGACATTAGGACTCGTTGCGTCAGCTGTAACAAGCGAGGCCGCTGCCGCCGCGCGAGCGAGAGTCGCGCGCGCTTCTTGCCGCGATAACAGCCAGGATGATGGGGTTAGGCAACTTCCGATGGCGACTCGTGATCGTCCTCATCATCGGTCTACTGCTTTGGCAGACCTCGAAGATTTGGTTGGCGTTCCTGGAAGGCGACGCTGCCGCCTCCGTGCAAGGTAAAGATCTCTTTGCACATGCAAACGCCCCGTTCAAGCACCTGTCGCGATGACCGCGAACGTCTTCGTACAGCTCTTCCACAGTGTTGCACATCGCAATTTCGCAGGGATATTTGTGAAAGATAATAATAGCGTAGATAATAATACCTATTAATCCCTTGATAATATCGACGGAAAAAAGTTAGTTTTAAAATGACTGTCTCCAAAAGTCGTTTCATATTGATTCAGATATGTTCAAATATAATTGTTTCTTATTAATCGTGAATAATGATTCCATTATTTTTTCGATATGGAGATAATTCTGTAATTTAATTGGCAAAGTTGTGAATTATAATATATTTTTATAATATATTTTTTTTAATCTTTACGTGTTCTCTCGTATTTTAATGGATTTTGGTGAATGCATCGCGTTTGACATATGGCCCAATTTTTGTTCAATGCGTTGATTAATTAAGATTTAAGTTATTTGTAATAAATTAACATCTGTTTAATTACAACTGCTGGTTCCAAATTTTAGAATTTAATTGTGAAAATTATATGGAAAAAAAAGCGAAAGAGAAGAACAAAAATTGATTTATAATAAAAAACATGCTTAAAAAAGTTAGATATATACACCAATTGATTACATCGTTCAATAATGAAGTACGTACACGTCAGCCATAAATTGCGATTTCTCACACTGGGGATTACCTGAAAATTATTTAGAGAAACCCAAGTGGAGACAATAACTAGAAATAACATCTTATTAATTATTCAAAATATGGTAAAAGTTATCAATTGGGAAAAATTTAAAATATTTTGAAAATATCGTGCATAATTTATATATTTGTTTCTCTCATTCATATATATCTTGTAATTAAAATTAAAATGTTAGATCAACGCTTTAATATTGTTACAATGTCACATTCGTTATTTATTAATATTTAACGAGAATATCTTTAATCTTTTGCTGCGAAAATATTTATAGAAATTCAGGCGGTGACACCGTTGAGCCAAAAGGACGATCCGACTCGACAAAGAGTACACGTGGCCGTGTATTACGAAGCACTATGTCCGGATTCGCGTAGTTTTGTTATGAAACAATTAGGACCAACGTATCGGAGACTCTCGGCGGATATTGAAGTCGAGTTGGTACCGTACGGAAAGGCTGCGGTAAGTCAACGTGACTAAATTTAATTCTTCTAGGCTTCCTCGAGAGCAGAAAAAAATATCGAGATAAACGTATTTTGAAATACTTGAATTTTCTATATTCATTAAGTGGTCTCTGCTTCTTTTGAATCATCCTGTATCGCCCAATTATTCCTTGCTCGCTTACACATTCGCTTTTGTTGTGGTTATACATTATCGATGATTAAATAATCATTGAGCAGGCAAGATTTTCTTTGTAAAATTTACGCATTTTATCTTTCATTTGCAGACGGAGAAGAAAAACGGCGGATATCAATTCACATGTCAACATGGACCCATCGAATGCCAAGCGAACATTATACATGCATGTACCATCGACGTTATCAAAGACCCGTCGATACAACTGCAATTTATCACTTGCATGATTGAAAATAACATAGACCCAGTAGGAATAATGAATAAGTGCGCCGAACGCATATCCGTGGATCTGGAGTCCATTAAAAAGTGTTCAAACAATGAAAAGGGCAAGGAACTCTTGGCTAACTACGGAAAAATGACGAACTCGTTGGTGCCAGGAATATCTTTTATACCGACAATTACCCTCGATAGGGTGAATATTCGTTTCATAACGCTAAGCAAGGAATAACGTAGCGATATATTGAATTATTAGAAAATGTTTTTTTCTTTTTACAGAGCTCGGATTATCAAGTGAGGATATTGAAAAATCTTCTGAAGGAGGTGTGCCTGCATTTTAAAATTACACCAAAAGAGTGCTTATCGTGAGAGAGTACGAATAGGCAAAACATAGCAAAACATATCCGCGTAATCATCGAATTTTGTTATCGTATTACATGAAAAATTTTAAAGTATAAATGAGAAATATAATATTTTTGAAAGAAAGTTGTTGTCTCTTGTTGAAAGAACCCGACTCTCGACAAGTTTAATATCGCGAGATGAACTATTTTACATACACATTATACGTGAAAATTAATAAATTAAATGAAAATAAATTTTTTCTCGCAACATAAGAAGAGATTTCATAGAACGCGCACGTGTTTTCTGTGTATTATAAAAAAATACTCTATTGTGCCGTTTCATTCGCGTCGTACTCTACATATCAGGCTGTTATCGTTTATTATTAGGGAGATAAAATCGCTTGTATTATAGATAAACACCAGTTTGCTCCCATATAAGTATATAGGAACAATTTATTAACTTAATATCAACACTTTATACAAACTGTGCCGCTTTATTATGTACGACAAGAAGTGAAGAACGCCTTTGAGATATACGGCAGAGAATATACTTACATACAATAGAAACAATGTTTGAATTGGAATCTGAAGAAATCAAGCTTATTAAAAATCGAATAACTAATCTCGTTAAAAGTAACAAAAAAGGAAGAAAAATAAAAAAAAAGAACACTGAGCCTGCGCTCGAAATGATTAGATAAGAAAAAAAGTTGTTTATATTTTGCAAACGTATAACGTTCTCTCCTTGTTCATATATCGCAATAAACTTGTTCGTTTTAAGAATTACAATTAGCATATAACCGAACGAAGATTTACTTCGTCGGGTCGACTTTATACGTTCGTATATGTACACATCGAAATAAATACAACGGTCGATAGAAGCAGGATGTGTCTTGGTACCTCCGCAAATACGGTATAAACGATTCTTTTTCTTTTTTTTTAAGAACAACAACGTGTATTTCAATAACAAAGATCGAGGGGAACGCTAAATTAAATATTAGAAGAGCTAACGCTTCAATATTATTCGATAAAGATTTGGCATTGCCTCGATGTTAATGTTCAACAAGAGCTTCCATGCGCCGCTCTCTCTCTCTCTCTCTCTCTCTTTCTATCTAATTCTCGGCGCGCGAAAATTCTTTCAATAAATAGATTTTGCGATACGGATATAAAATTACTATTATATTAAATACTGGAATATAGAGTCTTTGTAACGTAAGAGACTTAATCGCTAGGTATCAGTGTTCGATGAAACGAAGCGAATTTGGAAGCATTTAGATACAGATGCCTGTCGAATACTAACGACCACTTTTACAAAACGAGAGTGCATTTTTTTCTTTTTTTGACAATCTTTTTTTTCATTCTTAATAAAGAGTGTAAGTGTGTGGAAATATATCTCGGACACAGAATATACCACAGTTTACAAATAGATCCAATGTGTGCTTTTTTTCTCCCTTTTTTTTCGGATGTTTAATGGAGCGAGTCCCTAATTACAATTAATACCGTACTTTCTCTCCTTTGTAACCTATATCTAATCTCAAAAGTTTTTCGAGGGTAGTGAGAAAAGTCAGAGATATGTAAAGTGGATCCTGTTCACAGAGAGACAATGAAATATTCTCATAGCAAAGTATCTAGATGCCATCGAACACAAAAAGAGATGGTTGCTGAAACGAGAGGTCTATCGATAATGAGGGAAACAAATCGAGAGTAGCTGTGACCTAAAAATGAGGATACATTTATTTTGTCTTTTTATCTTTTTTTTAAATCTTTTTTTCTTTTTTTGTTTAATGATCAATGCGATCTAGGTCACCAGAAATACAAGTACTTCTCATTTTTGTTCACTTCAATGTTAAATAATAAAGGACTGTGGAGGAATTATCTTTCATCTTTTTTTTTTCTTAATTTCTTCGTAATTTATATATATATATAATATATATTACATATATATTATGACTGAACCACCGACACGCATGTTGTTTTACGCTGTACGGCATTTATGTTCTTTTGCTCTCGAGTTCTTAAGTAACATTATATCGTACGGATCGCACAAAAATCACACCAGTTTCTCCGGTCTGGTTGGCTCCGCATTTAACGAGACTGGCACGCACCCCTGGGCGAAGAAAAGTAATGCACCGATCTCACTGTGGCCTTTACTTCCTTTAATCCCCCATCCCTATTTTATTTCTCCGTGGATTTACATATCAACAAAAGTGGTGTCGACGTTGTTTTTCTCTTTTTTCATTTTTTTTTAAATCTTTTTTGCGCGCATGTATGTAAGGCTTTCCCGAGCGGAAGGCAAGTTTACAAATAGGAGATTAAAATGGAACTGGAGGCAAAACGCACTTTGTGAATATAATATTATAGTGTTTTTCTTTTTTTTCTCTGTGTGTATAATCTTTTGTGTGTATAGAGTTTTTCTCGCGTATATAATTCGTAAAACATATTATATACGTAACGTGTACGTGTGAGTCCCGTATGCACGGGCACGAGAGGCTTGGATGATGTTGATTGAAAGCGTAAGGAAGAGACTTTTCTTTGTTTTCAAATAGGAATGTCGAGACTTCGAATCCTGGAGCTTTCCAACGATCGCGTCGCGGCTCGTTATCCTCATTTCCGTGTGACGTCATCCGCGCGACCGATCACATCCCGTCCTGCAAGACGCGACACGCGCGAGCGAAAGCACTAGGTCTGAGCTCCTCGAGGCTCCTCTTGCAATTTTTCTTCACCTATACCTCATTTCTTAATTTTTTCTCTCTTTGTCTCTCTCTTTCACATTTTCTTTTTTTTATAAATTTTCTTGCTCGTTACTTATATAAATTAAGTTATTCGTTTTGTGAGGCATCGAGGGGTCCAGCACAGCTTTTGCATTTGAAGTCGTCATCAATAACCCAGAGGCCGAAGCGCATCATATTTATATTCTTTCTTTCTCTCTTTCAATCTCTCTCTCTCTCTCTCTCTCTCTCTTTCTCTCTTTGTCTGGAAAACGATCGGTCCAGGCCGAATTCTCTCACAGAGACAAACAAACATTTGTACATGTGCATGCATTTTAACGGTAGAGACATCATCATCTATTTAGCAGCTACGTATCCTAATGTCATCATTCACTATACACGTATCTCGTTTATTAAAAAAATGAACGAAGGAATTCTCGAGATGAATCTCTCTCTTTCTCTCTTTCTCTCTCTCTCTCTCTCTCTCTCTCTCTCTCTCGATTGGCAAATAAATCTTTGCTGCTTTTAATAGTATCTTACATCGGATTTATACTTTGTCCCTAACACACACGTTTCCTCTCCATTTGCAAAGAGAAGTTACAAATCTTCGACATGCCTTTCTCATAAAAAAAACTTTCGAGGAAATGAAGGAGAAGGTATGGAGACGAGGAGGGAAGATGATAGCGAGGGATGCAACAAGAGAAAAGGAAAGGGGGGCAGTCGAGAAAGAGAGTAAAATGGAAAATGCACTTTTTTTCTTTGTCGTTGGTGCACATGCGCGCGCAATCGTGTATCTTCGCGTTATCTCATTTCCAAATTTGTTTTATCCAATGGAAATAAGACATCCGAGTGAATGTAAATGTAAGTGTATATATACTCTTTGAGTGTTTCGTTCGTATGTATTGGTGTGACGTGTTATTGTGTTGTGTGTACACGCGTAAATATTTGTATTTTGAAAGATAATGATTTTAGTGGTATAACTCTTTAATTAAACAATTAATTGCCCTGTATTACTTATCGTTAAACGATGATTTTTAACGCGGTATCGGACGTTGACTCTTCGCGCTTTTATAGATCATCTTCATATCCTGATACAAGATTTATCACTTTCTGGTTGATTCTGTTTTTGTTACATATGTTTTTTCTCTGTTTCTTGATTTATTTAATACGTCAACACCACTCCGAGTCGCGAGTTCTTCCGTTACACAGGTTGCATTCACTTTGATGTCATCATTGTGACGAATTCTGAAAAATACAATATAAAAAACACTTCATTAGTCTCACATATATATTCATTAGTTGCATGCCATGCCTACCAAGCCAACATTATGATAAAGCATTAACAAAATAACAATGAAAGAGTAAATGTCTTCTTTATCATGATATTAGAAGAAGAAAAAATTACAATAAAGTACGACTGTATATATTACTTTATCAAATTGAAATGATTTCATTAACGAAAAGTCAAATATGTTAATGTAAGAATTGCATAAATTATTTATATATGTATTTGAATACTGTTCTCTTCTGATATGATAATACAAGATGCTTGATGCAAGCATTTTATTTAAAATTAAAAGTATAGATTACACATAATAATACATCGCGATAATTACTTTAATAACATATTTTAAAATAATATAATTAGAGTTCCATTTGCATGACTAACTACTAACAATACATTTTTATGCTAAATAATAAATCAAGTAATACAACCTTCATAATTAACTTGACCGTCGCCGTCGATATCGGCCTCCCGTATCATCTCATCTACTTCCTCATCAGTAAGTTTCTCGCCCAGATTGGTCATGACGTGTCTGAGTTCTGCCGCGGATATGAAACCGTTTCCATCCTTATCGAATACTCTGAAGGCCTCTCTAATCTCTTCCTCGCTATCCGTGTCCTTCATTTTACGCGCCATCATGGTTAAAAACTCCGGAAAATCAATTGTTCCATTACCTAGAATTTCCAAATTTTCAAAACATCGAAATAGTTTTTTTTCTTCTTTTAATTAAAAAGGAAATGCATCTAAAAGATGCTTTACAAAAGAAAATCTTTTGGACGAAAAAAACTATCAATATTTCTTTCCATAAATGTATTAAAATTAATATTTTTATTAATCTATAGAAAAAGATAGACATGAATAAAAGTAGAAAAATATAAATCATTTTTATATACAAACTAAAAAATAGAGCACGTTCACTTATAAAATTAAAATTTGTACTAAAGTGCTTTAAAAAGCTAAATAAAAATATATACCGTCTGCGTCTACTTCATTAATCATGTCCTGCAGTTCGGCTTCTGTGGGATTTTGACCGAGGGACCGCATGACTGTACCTAATTCTTTGGTGGTTATGGTACCGTCGCCGTCTTTATCGAATAGCGAAAACGCTTCCTTAAATTCTGCGATCTGTTCTTCTGTGAGTTGGTCAGCCTTGAAGATAAAAAAGAGCAGCATTTAAGTTAATATTCTTGCAGAATATTGCAAACATATTGCATACAATATTACACTTAGATTAATATACATATATATATATATATTTTTCTTTAATCTCGCTAATTTGTCACTTTTTATGAATAGCAATTTATGTTATTTGTAAATATATTAAAAATAACATATAATATACAATTTTTTATTTCAGCTTCCATATAATAAAAATATAATTGTTCAATTTCTTAATAATTGAATTAATCGGATTATCTAATTCAATTGTCTTTAGTCATATCGGTATTAGTTTCATAAATTGCCTCAATTAACGACGAACGCATAATGATGCAAGTTGATACGATGTACGACAGTGTCAGAGAAATAGCACGATGATATACATTGGAGCAATTCAATTGCTCCTGCATAAATAAGGAAATCCCACATTACTTTGGAAAAACGTCATCATGTGAATATTAAAATGACCGGTATGATTCATAGAAATAGGTGAACACTATGCATTTATAGATAATATGCGAATACATATATATATGTCGTATTCCGTGCGATTTATATATTGCGCATTAGTGAAAATAAATTTTGATTCTTTTCCAAAAATGCATACGTATGTTTAAAGGAGAAACTGTGGGGGATCGAGCACGTTAATAAATCTTTTTCTAACGAAATATTATTAAATATGATTGAAAAAAAGAATAAATCTTACGTCAATTTCAGAAAAAAATACAAAAACGTACCATTCTCTTTCTGGATAATATTTGAAATTGTACATTTATATTACTGCGCAAAAGATTCTTAACATCTCGGGAAAATTGTGATACTGTGACGGGGGGGGGGGAAAGGGAGGAGGTCTTTAAAAATACATAACGCAAATTATTCTAGTACACAAATTACAAACAGCTGATCGATTATTTAATGTCAATTTACCGTCGAGTAAAATAATAAACGATAATGTATCGATTCTATTCTACTTGCAGGGAAGGCAATTATATCATAATTAGCGACAGAATTTCCGAGAGACTTTTTATCGGTCTATTTTTCAGTTATCTTGATCGTCATGTCGTTTCTTTACAAATTTCGAGGAGATAATCGCGCCCAATATTCTCAAACATTAAATTAATCGAACTATTCTTACGGAGCTTCCGATCGTTAAAATTTCTCGCGATTGCACAAGATTTCCGATTATAGAAGCACTGACATTTACGGAAAATCTTGCGTCTCGCGGCGATACACATGACTGGCTAGCGGATAACCTCACTTTTAGAACGTCAGGCGGCTACGTTCGAAGAAATATGGCTCCCCCGATATATGAAAGCCGCATTGCATCGAGTAGGGCGAGTTTTCACGGGGAGGATTTGCGCAGGAAATACGCAAAACGCGTTATCGGATCGTGGAGAGAGAAAGAGAGAGAAAATTAAAAAAACGAGACAGAGACGGAAAATTCGATAAGAGGCGAGCTGCCGTAACGGATTATACACGGTGGGACGCCGGTTCGATAAAAAACGTAAAAGGAGCGCGGAAGGGAATCAACGGAGGGAACGCAAAAATCAATAGCGAGCGGCCAACGTATCGTCGTGACGGTTGATCGCCGGACGGATAGAGCGCGTCGCACGCATCGTACGTAGTATGTAGAGAGAAAAAAAAGGTAGAGCAAAGAAAAATCGTCGAAAACAACACGCACATGGTAACGAGGAGGGGCCCTTAAAGATGAATATCGGGTGACCCGTATGGATTATGCAAAAGGAGCGGTCGGGCGTATCGCGCGCTCGCACGCTCGGTCTCGTATTTCGTGCTCCGATAGGTATCTATCTCCGTCCGCGATCGAAGGTGAGGCGGAGGAGAGGAGAGGAGAGGAGAGGAGAGGAGAGAGAGATCGCGGAGCGCGATAACGCCGACGTCGCGTAGCTCCTTTACCATTTGCATCGTCGGAAATATTCGCGAGAGAGATTCCCGGTTGACTATTATCCGCGAAGAAGCGTGTTTTATTTACACGGCCAAATTTTCGCTCTCTCTCTCTCTCTCTCTCCCTCTCAATTTAAATACACGTCTGGCGGTTCGTCGGGCGGAAAGTATAGCCGACAACGGGCGACGTTTAGATCCCGAGCGCGAAGGCCGTGAATTTAGCAGCGCACGGACGGACGGACGGACGGAAGACGAGAAGATAACCGTCGCGCGCGGCGCTCGTCGATTATCTCGACGAGTCCAAGAGGCCACGATCGCGAGACGTGCACGCGTCAAGCTGACAATACATATGGCGAGCGAGATTATTAGAAGCTGGCTGGAAGCGGCGAAATTAGCCCCTTGGCTCTCTCTCTTTCTCTCTTCGCGTCGCCCACCTGTCTTGCTCTCGTAACGTACGACCGGCCAGCCGTAGCGCCAGAATTCCGGGGACACGTAAGCGTGTCACCGCGTTGGGTCAGGTCGAAACGACGCAGGGAGCTTCAATTTTTCGCGAATGTTCCGTGGAAAATAAATAAAGGGCGAATCATATCAGCCTGTCTCTCTCTCTCTCTCTCTCCTTCTTAGTATGCGGCAAACGATCGATCGGCGGTTACTTCCGCTCGCGCGGATGCAGATTTTTCTCCGGGGAAGAAGCTCCGCGAGAAGAAGCGTAGACAGCCATGCCCGATCGATAATCGCGAGGAAACGAGGCAATCTCCGGGGCGGCACAAAATACGTTTCGAGCGACGAGGCTGATAATGTGCGGTCGATCGAGGAAGAGAGAGAGGGATGGAGAAATATGGATGTGCGGATGAGGAAAAGAGAGAGAGAGAGAAAAGCCGTGTCGCCGATCCTTCCAGAAAAGGAAATCCGTTCTGCCGGCTGATTCGACGAGCGAACGGGAAAGATGGAGTTGCACGGAGGACGAGTCGAAGTGCGGGAAGCTCGCGGAAGAGCGTAAATTACGCATCGCCCTCTCTCATCGCACGTGCGCTCGGCGACGCGTCAATGCGGCGGGGCCTCGGTTACGTTGCGACAGCCGACGACGACGAAGACGACGAAGACGACGACGACGACGACGAGCGACGAGAAGCCGCGAGAAACGAACGAAAGAGCAGCGCGGACAACATATTCCGCGCGACATAATCGTCATCGCCGATCGCGCGACACTAGAACGAAACCAACGAGTACTTACCATCGTGGCCCTTTTTTCCTCTTCGCGTCTCGATCACGCACGAGAAGACTCGGCCCGCAGACACACGCGTCCCCGCACACTGGACGACTGAAAGAGTGCGTATCTAAAAATCACAAGATCGGCCGCTCGCTCGCTCGCTCGCTCGTAAAACGGCTCGCCGAGGTATACTTCGGGGAGATGAAACTCGGACTACGTGCACGAGCGCGGACGAGGCACGCAGTAACGGAATACACCCAGTCCGGCGAGAAACGCACTCGGGACAGCAATGGAGTCTACCGTGTCTTTCTCGATCTGCGAGGCTCTCTGTGGACCGCCGCTGGTCTCGCCGCCCGGATATCACTCCGCCATCCCCTTACGGGCCGCGCGGCGGCCAATCGGCGCGCGCCGCCGCTCCGGGCGGGGCGAGGCAGGGAGGAGGGAGGGCGCGAGCGGCGGCCGCGACGCGCCGGCCGCCTACGCGGCCGCGAGCTAGACCCCGCGCGCCGCGGCTTCCCTCGTTGCCGAAAGGTGCGGAAAAAAAGGCCCGCGGCGGTTTTTAATCGCGCAAAACGGCGCGAGCGAGCGAGACGCGGCGAGGGACAGGGGCGACGCGGGGGGACGGGGAGCGGCGGGGCGAGGGGAAACGCGCGAGGACGACGCGACGCGACGCGACGCGGCGCGCCGCGCCGCGCGCGCGACGTGGCGCGGCCACGGGCCGGCACGCCGTAACCCGCCCCGTAACAAATCCGTTTTACACGGCGGGGTGGGTGCGGTCGTGTTTACAGGACGAGTCCGGACGAACTAACCGGGCCTGTGATTGGCCGGCGCGCACCTGCAATGCGTCAGGCGGCCGCGCGGACTGTGCCGTGTCGCGCCGGCTACCGGGTCAAAGCCGGGCTTCCCTGCCTGCGAGAAGACCGCTCCGAACGCGCGAGCGATAGCAATGGACGACGTTTTTCGGCGAACGCCGATCCGGTCTCCCCCCTTTTCCCCCCTTCTGCGTTTTCCTCGTCTCTCTCCCCGTAAACTCCCGTATTTCCTCTACTCGATCTTTTTTTTTCCTCCTTTTTCTTGTTCTTTTTCTTTTCCTTCTCTTCGTCATCCCCTAAACGCGCGCGACTCTTTTTTTCCCGCGCTTCCTCTTCGTATTTCTTCGCGCTTCCTTCCCTTCGCTCGCCCTCGTCATCGATTTTGCCAATGACAATTGTCGTCTTACCAACGTCGTAGCTTCTTCTCCGTTTCTCTCGTCCCTCTCTCTTTATCGTGGGAGATCTCGTCGTTGCGGAACAGCATGACGTTTCGCGATCGCAAACCGGTACCGAGCCTCGTGCGTCGCACATGGGATTTCGGGCTGAATGATCATCTTTTTATATAGACTCGCTCTCTCTCTCTCTCTCTTTCTCTCTCTTTCTTTTGTCGCATATAATATAAACCGGCACGTTAGCCTCGGTATCACCCTTTTATCGATTGACTCTCTCTTCCTTTTTTCCTTTTTAATGAAATAAGGGCCTTTTAACGAGAAACCGCGCTATAGAAGAAACCTATCGCTTTCGTGGATGACGACACAAATTGGATCTACCAAGACGAAGAGAGAGAGAGAGAGAGAGAAGAGAAGAGAAAGAAGACGGAACGAGAGAGCCACTCTAATTTTCTCACGTTCTCCCTCTTTTTCCGTCTCTCATCTCCCTCTCTCTCTCTCTCTCTCTCTCTCTCTCTCCCCCGAGTATTGATTTTGATCAATTTCATCGGTGAGCGCTCTAGCACGGGTCTCCACCTTGGCGAGGAATTTACAGGCGGGTGTAAAGCGTGAAAATTTATCGTATCCGGCCGTACCGTCGTCGTCATAGTCGTCGTCGCCCTTGTCCTCTGCACCCCTTTCCTACGCCCCTTTTGCCTTTCTCCCATTACCTTTCCTTCCCTACATTCTCCCTCTCTCTCTCTCTCCCTCTTTCTAATCGTTCTCTCGGTGCCCGTTTTGCTCCTCTCTCCCTCCTCCACCGCAGCCCCCCTGCCCTCGCCATCTTGCCTATATACTATTTCCACTTTCCTGGTATGTGTGTCAGTGCGGCAATTTGACGGTGGTGTCAGATAACGTATAATCGCACCGATGACGACGGATTAGAACGATCACGTTCCGAGCGAACAAAAGCAATAAAATTGATTATTTATCGATAAAATTCTCCTCTTGATTATTTTTTGTCCGGACGTCTGTAAAGATAAGACAAGACTATACGAACAGCTCTTTGATATCTCCCTCTCTCTCTCTTTCTCTTGCAGTCTTTCGGTCTCTTTTCCTCCCCACCCTCTCTCTCTCTTTGTCGATCCCGATATCTCTTTCTCTCTCCTTCGTACTCCGTCTGCTCCACTTTGGAATCGCACGTATACGTTATATTCTCCAAAAGTTCTGCATTGCGTTCCCGTACATGTGCATGCGGAGATTGCGCTCGTCGAGAGGAGACGCATTTTCAAGAATGTATAAAAAATATTGTCGATAATTATATTATCGACGACGAATTTGCCCGAAACACGATTGACTCGGCGTGTATCGGATACGCGCGAGTCAATCTTGATTAACGAGGCTTTACGAGGTGCATTGAGTATGTTTATGAGACGTACGAGTTTCACGGATCGCCTCGACGTCGAAATTAAACACGTCGCGAGAAATTGATCGAAATTATACATATACTCGACGAATTCCCGTTATTGAACGTCCGTCGCTGTCTTACTAACGTCGTATAAATACCCGCGGAATCGTTATCCCTCGTTCGCTTATTTATTTTATTGGACGACGCGCCTTCTTTCTCGCCGCGAACAATATTCGCTCTCTCGTCCGGGTACGATAAATAGAGAGGAAAGGGGGAGGGGAGGAAGGAGGCTAACATTTTTATAAGGGCGCTTTTTTTCCACGAAGATGACCCACGCAAGTCGCGAGCGATGAATAATTCATTCGCACGCGCGTATTTTTTCCTTCCAGTTATAGAAACCGAGCAGTCGCATATCGTAGTCGCACCTGCGACGAAAGGGGAAGGAAACGGGGGCGAGGAGAGGGAGGAGAGCGTTTCGCTGGAAGTCGATTTTCGTCGCGTTCGAAAGAAGAGGGAAATTATCGGCGACAGGTGCGAGAACGCGATGCGGTTTCTGTCTCGCTCACGTGGTTGCGTGGTTGTTTGCGACGCTGTACGTATAGGGTGTTTCTATATTCAGAATGACGCTGTACGTTCCGCGGAGATCGATCATGGGAGAGATACGGACCGATGTCTCCGACGAAAATTGTCAGCCCGCCCCTCCTCTTCCTCCCCCCGTAATTGTCATGAATCTTAAACTCGTACTTCGGGGACGAATTCATTTTAAAGTCGGAGAAAATTATCTCTTATTTCTTTTCTTCAATTATCCCATACAATCCCCGGCAATATTGCAACGTTGCTGCAATATTGCTGTAATGTTATAACAATATTCCGCGTTGTATGGAATGTTTTTTTATGTAAAATATATTTATAATAATATAATATAATAAATATTTATATTATTCAAAAATAATTAAATTATATATATATATATATATATATATATATATATATATATTAAATAATATAATACATATTTATATTATTCAGCAAAAAATTGAGGAATGTTTGAAACTTTTGAAAAAGATATATATTAAGGATTAATTATGCGTGAAAGAATTTCTCGCGCTAAAACTTGCTATCGAACATCTTCTCGAAGGGATTATAATTTAGCATCGTATGTTATCATCCGTGTCATTATTTGTCGGGCGTTTTAAACGATCTTCCGGAACGCGGAATAAACGGCCGACTATTATTACCGCCATTACTAAATTCAATAGATTGATACAATGTTCGATTCGACTTGCTATTCTTAGGTCGGATTTTCGGAATTTTCGACGCGAACATCGAAATTCGACTCGAATCCCGGACATTCGAGGAACGCCGCGCGGTAAAGGCTCTCCTCGATCAGTAGCGCGACGTAATATGCATGAAGGGGACCATCGGGACGGCGACCCCTGTTCTCTCTCTCTCTCTCTCTCTCTCTCTCTCTCTCTTTCTCTCTCTCTCGGGGCGGATGAGCGCGCGCGCGCGCGAGCGCTCCTGTTCTCTCTCGTCGAGAGGGACATCGAATTTCTTTTCTCGCAAAAGAGAGCGTATAGCGAGCGCACGGCACATATCGATCGTTGGCGCATTCCGGCCCAGGAACACGGCGACGCGGCGGCTAGGAACACCCCGCCGTCCCTGGCCGCCCCGCGTCTCTCCGCTCCTACGTATATAAATGTGTATGCGTCGTCCGATGAATTGTTAACCGCTCTGTCGTCGTTGTGACCGTGACCGATATATCCCGGAGACGCGGCGGTTACGCGCGCTCGACGCTACCCGCGCGGCGCGTCGTCGATAAGGCAAATTAGCGACGACGTCGCGTGCGCGCTCGCGGAAAAATTATTCGCGACGACGTCGCGTGCGCGCTCGCGGAAAAATTATTCGCGACTCGAGGGAGAAGAGAGAGACGAAGGGAAGGGAAGGGAAGGCGATGACGGAAGGTCTCCTTCGTCCTTCTCGGGAGCGATTTTCCGCTTCCCCGAAAGGGAGAGAAAAGGGCGACCGGGGTGGTAGGAAAAAAAAAAAAAAAAAGAAAGAGAGGAAAAGGGTGGCGGTAAAAGAGGGCGGGGATCGGACAAAGCCGGTCGATTGCATTTTAACGCATAGCCGTGCGGCTCTGCGGATGCGTAATGCGCTAAGCACGATATACGGTACAACACATACGTGTGTATATGCATGTACATGTGTACGTGCGCCAGGATGTACACCACCGACACGCTTCGCGGGAAACGTTGCCGCGTCGCGGCAAAAATCGATGCCGGCGAGAGCCACGCCGTGCCGTGCCCTGTCGCCGTCAAAGACGCGGAGCTGCTGCGTCGCAGCCGGTCCCGTCGCCGACACCCCCGAAGCGTCGTCTTGGCGTCATTGACGTTGGGTCGCGAGGTCCGAAGGGCCGCGCTGCGATTCTCGAGAGGCTCTCCAAAGTCTCTATTGTTGTCATCGTTATCATCAACATCATCATCATCATCATCGTTATTATCGTCGTCTTTGTTACACACGATGACGCGACGCGTCGTGCGTCGAGCCTGCGCACGCTAGGACGCGCAATGCGACACGCGATAGAACGGGATGGCGAAACGCTACGACCGCGGTAATCTCGTTACAGGGAGAGAGGGACGACGCGAGCGAGAGAACGGGGGCGTATGGAGTCGGGGACGCGCTTGGTACCGGGGTGGGTTTTCTCAGGGTAGGTAGGTAGGTAGGTAGGTAGGTAGGTAAGT